TGAGAGTGGAGACCGGGGTAGGGAGGGTGTTTTCTGCTCCAGGACTTGTGTTTTTTTTTTTACCCGTGATGGGAAGCAGCTCATTGCAGAGGTGCAACTTGCTGAGTAAGGAGCTGTGAGGCATTGATGAGGACACACTGGTCTCTAATGAAATGACATCTGCTGTTTTATTTTTGGCTCTGGAACAGACCTTATTTCGGTTCGAGTTGCCGGGGCGCTCCGCCTAAAAATGACTTCATATTATCAATTTTAAATCTAGGTCCCCGTAAAAAACAATAAAATGAAATAAAATCTTGGGGCCTAGCTTGCTCTGGTTGTCTCCTTCCTCCTCTGCATCTCAGCTGAGTGATCTCATCGACCCACAAACCCTTCAGTACATTCTACGGCACAATAGATCTGCCCTCGCCTCAGTGGAGTCCGGCTATCTTCGGTTATTAACGGGGGGTTGGGGAGGCTGTCAGTGACAGTGTGAGTCGGGTGTAGGAAAAAACAACCTTGGCAAGCAGGAGACAGAGGTGTTCTTACCGTGTATAAAAGCAGGAAAAAGGTGACTGTCGTAACAAATCAATCACGCATTCAAGCCGTGTGCAGATGGATGCGGTTCTGCACACGGGAGCCCGTGTGCTTCTGTAACCTTCAGGTCACAACCCAAAGAATCAGTGCGTTCTGTGCTAACGGGATCCTCTGGGTCCAAGGATAACAGCTACCGGGTTAGATAGCGTTTTTTTAATGAATCTCACGTGTCATCGTCTGACATCAATCCAAAGAACAAACAACAAACCATAAACCCACACTGCTCCGCTACTTAAAAAAAACGTTTATCTCATAATCATCTGAGATGCGCATAAATCCGTAGAGACCGCCACTACTGTATATCACTTGTCAGCGATGCCCACTTGAGACGCCGCGCCAAAAAAAGGGAGCTAAAAGCAAAACCTAATTCCGCTGAATCCCTGTTTGAGGAAGACTGACGGCATCTATTATACATGTGGTCCAGGCAGCTGCTCTCCTGAGAGTCAGCTCACACCACCGGGGAAATATGGCGATTATCATACAGTGTGTTACACCTGGGCACCAACTACCCTCTGCGGATGATAAAAGAAAAGGGCAGCAGACCACCTGAGGCCCGGCAGCCACAGAGCTGACAACTATATCTATAAAAATCCCAAAAGCACAGGGCATGGACAGAAGCCTGTGCAACACACCCGACACCCTCTGCTCCCTAAAGCCAACCTGAAATGAAACTCTCTGCTTTGAACATTTGCCAGCAATCAACTAGTTCACTATCATTTTTTAGCTACATGTTTCTACCCTTTTGAGTCAAAGATCAACTTGCTATATTCATTATAGACGGATCATTTGTTGGAAAGCAGAACAATAATACTTTATACTAGATTTATTTGACACTCACAACTTGATTAGACAGCAAAAACCCGGTGAGGATGCGAGCACAAGGTACAAAAAAAATAAAAAAATGTTGTCCAGTCATAATGCTGGGTCTTACTTGAGTTGCTGGTTACTACTTTCCAGATACAGACATTTTAGTGTACATTTTCATTCCCCTAAAGTGACACAAGTCTGTTGACTTATCAGGCTTTTCATCATTGTTGCTATTGTAAAAGCTAAGCCTCTGTAAGCCTTTTCATCAAAAGCATATGAAAGATTATACCACGTTAAAGATTACTGCAGAAGTCCAAACAGATTATCTCGCTGTTTGTTTTCATTTGTTTCTTTTCAGGGGGAAAAAAACTCACATAATGTTTGATGGAATAAGCAAAAATGTGGGGAAAAGAGGTGAAAACTGTTATTTTTGTGTCCTGACACATTAATGACAGAGTGTGACTTTTTGAAGGGGACAGTTCTCATTCAGGTTCTAAACCTTCATAAATATTAAATTGCCAATTGAAACCTTCACGAATAAGTTAAGGTAGGGTTCGAACCAGAAACCGTCCTGCTGCCAGGCGACCGTGCTGACCACCACGGTACCTTGCAGCCCCGTTGTTAACATGTCATTTTGAAATGGACAAATTGGACATCCTGTTCTTGATGGGCCATGATTTATCTGCGTGAGGCTTTCTTGGCCTCAGTGTTAAAGTAAGCGAAGCCTGTGTTTCCATGGCAATGTGAAAGGCTAGAAATGAGCGGCCTTTTCGAGAGGTGTAGACGCTGATGAACTGTTTACTTTGGCATGTGTGTGTGGGTTGGCCGGTCAGGATTTAAAGTACCAGCTGAGCCTCGAGCACACTGCTGTGCACCTTCTGTGACTTGTGCGCTAGAAAATCAGAGTGACCATTAATGTTGCAAGTGATGCGTCCATGGATTTTGGGTGAGATTAAAGCATGGCCTGTCATTTAACCAGCGTATTTCTGTTTCTGAGGGAGAATGTTACTAAAAGCTTATTCAATATACATTTCCGAGCATTTTAATTACCAAGAAATGACGACACAAATCCTCAAAGACCCAGTTCTTTATAATAAAAACATTTGAGCTTTGCACATAGTTTTGCACAGTTGATGTGAATATTACATCCACATGTAGAATTTGTCAGTATTTTAATTGATTGATGAATGTCACCTCAATGTCATGCAAAGACTCTAAATCCTGTTCACCCAAAAAGTTGGAACAATTAATTCAATAAAAACAAAAAAGCAAAATATTATAATTTGTTAATTACCTCCATTTGTTTCTTACTCACAAAAATTAGGTTGATACTGTCAAATCTTGAAAGTGAAATATTTTTCTTTTCATGTAAAATAGTCATTTATTTTGTCCTGAAAAGGACAATATAGTATAACCGTGTCAATTACAAATAATCAACTTTTATTATAGTGCAGGATATATGAGTAACATATAATATGTGTTTTCAGTGTATATTGAAAGTAAAGATGGATACCTCATGTCAAAAACCTGAGTTTATTACCTATAAATAAATATATATATGTTGTTTTCCTGCCCTTACCAATTGATTTTGGGTATCCCTTGACTGAGACAAATCAATGAAAATATAGCTCTTTCACCATTTCACCAGTGACCTCCATCTCCCCTGGGATGGAGGTCAGTAACTGTGGAAGAGGCAGATCGATCCCTCGTGTCAGTTAAGATACTCTTACAACAATGTAAATGACCTTGATTGCATGTAAAAATCCCTCATTAAAATTCAGACAGATAGTCGTTTGCCTTTCACCCATCAAGTCAGAATTAGTATCAAACTGCAGATCCTTTTAGATTTAGATTTAGACTCAATCAGAAGATTGGTCGTACCAGTCTTAGATTATACATTTTTACCTTTTAGGTTCTGGTGAAAAAGAATAACTTGTAGAAACTAGAGAGGATGTGACAAAACTGAAAAGTCCCCAGTGCATCCAAATAGGCTTCCGCGAGTTTTTCATTTAAACATAAAGCACCATCAAAATGCAATAGAGGAGAAGAATAAGGTTATTTATTTCTGCACTCCTGTTTATTAGTTATTTTAAACCGCAGGAGGTCAGGAAGCCATTACCAATATGCCACTAAGAGTTGGTGAAGATGTCACGCTGGGGTGGGCGAGGGGTTAATGTGCTGTGAAAATAAAGAGTGTGATGTTACACTTCAAGGTGAGATTGAGAGAATCCACACAGAGCTCCCGCTAAAGGTCAAGTGCAGCGCGGCGTGAGGGTAAAATGTGAGTGTGCATATTTTATTCAAATCATTTCCATTTTATTTGGTCATTACAGCAGTTGAAATAGCGGGAGCGATGACATCAGGAGAGGGAGGGGATGCTGTATGTGTCACACCAGTGAGTCAAATTCATCAGAGGGACGGCCGTTGATCAGCGGGAAATTTAACATGTGGAAAAACAAATCGTACAATTACAGCTGACCGGGACGTCAAGCATCTTTTAAACCCGGTTTCTGAAGGGACTGCCACTGCTAACAAAAGGTGAGAGGTGATCTTTGATGAGGATGACAACACCTGCTTCTCAATTAAAGAGCTTCAGTGGATAAGAAGTCTCTTATCTCCGTCCCAGCCCGCGTGCTGAAAGCTGAACGAAAAACCTCCAACACTGTCTGGTCTCCTGCTCTCCTTTTGACGTCTTCTCAGTTGCTCACTATAAATACATAGGTGCTGTTTCCAAGGTAACAACTCCATAGAGAATTGGCCACCTGAATTTCAGATGGAGGGGGGGAAAAGGAGGCTGTGCAGAATTTACTCTCCTCATCTCAACTCGCGCAGTAAACATTGCTCTTTATTAACAACCTGTGAGCAGGCCTGCACCAGCTGGACCCGTCCTTAAAAAAAATCCTGCAGCATCCCATCAGGATGCCTCACCTCCGAGCAGGGCGCGCTTCATCTCAGACTTGTTGGCGCGTTTTGGGTAATGATTGTTAACAGTTTTAATTAATCACCAAATTTACAGGCGACGAGGTCTAATTCCTGCCTTCTACGGTTTTCAGCTCAGCATGCAGGTGAACGTATTAACGCTTCTCCAAAATCTGATGGCTTTAATTTGCAGGTGCATTCATATTGAAGTTGAAACGATGAAGCGAGTGCGCCCTCAAGTGGCGACAGGGTGGAAATGCAACCCTGTGTTAATCTTGGCAGCTGTTTCTATCATATTTCACAGTAGTCCAATCTAATATGATCATCTTCACAGCTGAGAGTAATACCACCAGTACTGGTAAGAAGGAAGCAAAAACTAAGCAGCATTGTTGGGAAATGGTGTTAGTTTTATCTATAAACTGCTCTAATGAGCATGACTCATCTGGTCTATAAGCCTGCCGATTGAGAAGTAACACCCAGAAGACTTCTCATTTTACTGACCAAGAAAATCAGCCCCAAATGGCACCTGAAAAATCCCTAATAACATTTTCTATAATAGCTGTAAAACTACACCAGCACAGCTTGGCATTTGGACACATTTATATTCCTCTGGCCCACCGTTCACTCCATTACATCTGACATTTCCACACAGAACTTTGGAGGCATCGCTGTGAGTCATGAATACATTTCTTGAGACGTGATGAGGAGTTTATAATAGAGATTCTCTTTAATATAGTGCATTTATCAGATGTTACAGGATGAGTTTAAAAAGACGTAAAAGAAATACATTAAACACAGCATGTCAACCGTACAGAAACCATTTTGCAAATTAAAGCTTCACATCTGAACAACGTAGGAGATGCCAAGTTAAAACACATTTCTTTTCTTTATTTTTGCCATTTACCAGATTATATCTCCTCTATTTAAATTAGACACTGTAACACATGGAGAATTGGTCATTCCATCCCAACTTTCAAAGAAACTATCAGTCCAGTTATAGAAAAAAAAGAAAAAGAAAAAGGGGAACACAAAGCTCCCTGCTGAGGTCAGTTTAAGTCCTCCTCACTCGCTCAGGGCTGTAGACTGTTCAATACTGGCTTCTCTGGGTTTGAGGGAAACTGATCCGCTAAAGTGGAAAAACACTTTGACTTGCACATTTCAACTGTCTGCTGGTGTAGAGTGATGAGGAGTTGTGTGGGTTCACTGCAATGGCTGAGCGATAAATAGCTATCTTCACACGAGCCCGTGTTGTGTAAGCTGACGGGTTTGTGAGATGGCAGAATGTGATGTGAATAAACGGGGGGGGGGGGGGGCAAGCCCGCACAGGGCCCGCTGACACGCGCCCGACTCAACGTACCATCCATCACAGCTCCTCTGAGGAAAGCCGGCGCTTTACGGACAAATCCAAACCTGAACTGAACAGCCCTTTCTGGAGAAAAACCGATTGGTCCCAAAAGCATTTTTTTATTCAAACATAAGAAAATAAGTACAACGGCCGGCGGCTCACACAAAAGCGAACGACGGCATACGCGGACAAACGGTAACATTGATATGAAAATGTAAATAAAAAAAAGATCATGAAAGCAGGCCCTAACCAAAGAAAACGCTCACAAGACAAACAAACTAGAGGTCTACGAGTAAATAAAGAGCCGGAGTGGGAGCAACTCTTACCAAAGCGGAAAAAGGCCTCATCATCGCGATGGGCACGGCGTAGCCAGAGCCCACACAGGCCCAGAGGACACACACAACCACAAACCATGCAGTAGTTTCACTCCTTCACAAATGTAAACATGCGCTGTAACATTTATTGCCTTCTTCAGAACCAGGCACCGTGGACCTTTTAATCCTTTGCGGACTAAATGAGAAAAGACTACCAGACTATGTGACATCTTTCAGAGGTGGGGCTGAAGAAATTAGGGAAATCTTCACAGAAATTGGTGGCAAACAGAGTTATATTCTGTTAATTAAAAAGCTGCAGCTGAGATATTTTGAGATTTTTCAAGCTCTTTCTTTTCGATCTTCAAAAGACACAAAATCAACTTAATGTCAAATGTTAGGTGGTGCATCTGAAACATATCAAAAGGCTTTTGTGACATCATCAGATGTTAAAACTTAATCGTTATTTGGTTTGTCTCTTAAACATTCTTGTAGATAACACAGAGCGCTCAGCATCTTGTGTTGCTTTTTGCTTTGTGGAAACCAGCGCCTTTGGATGGGATGACACTAGAGCAATGAGGTGACTGAGAGCATACTGTGTTCAAGGCACAGCAGGGCTGCTCCCACTTAGCTCACACACACACACACACACACACAAGCCAACACTCATTCACTCCCTCAAAAACGCTTATTCAAACACACACATACAGTACATGGATGCAGGGGAGCACTGGCCAAAGTCCAACAGTTTGGAGGAAACAGAAAAGGAGCGAGAGAGTGACCGGGGCCAGTGCAGCTTCCCAAAAACACTGCAGACAGAGCTGACAGAACGGGAGGAAGACGGACGGATCATTTGGCGTTCCTTAGCTGGCTCGAGAGCCAGTCCAGACCCTCATAGAGCCCGTCTCCGCTGGTAGCGCATGTGGCCTGGATGTACCAGTTACGATGGCGCAGGGAGTGCAGGCTCAGCTTGTCCGTGATCTCAGCTGCATTCATGGCATTGGGAAGGTCCTGGAAGGACAGAAAACATACACTTTACTTCAGGAGAAAAGCATAAATCAGCACAGACCCCTATGAGGACATGTTTTGACACCCTGCGTAAAATCTCTCATCATTTTCTTTCAAATAAAGGCAGACGAAGGGAAGGAGGCATTTTTGGCGTTCGTGTGACTAGCAGTTGTAGGACATGTGATGCAGATCCTGGGACAATAGATCTGTTGTCTTATTTCATGAGTTTCTGTACTTCCTGGTTCACAGGGAACACCCAAAACTGCGACGTGTGTGTATTATCTGGCAGTTTTGAACCAAATTAAATCCACATACAAAAGCAGCAGCCTGCCGTCAATGGCGTGCCCTCACCTGTTTGTTAGCGAACACCAGCAGCACTGCATCCCTCAGCTCATCCTCGGCCAGCATTCTCATCAGCTCTTCCTTGGCCTCTCCAACGCGCTCCCTGTCATTACTGTCCACTACAAAGATGAGCCCTGGAAATTGGAGGGAGGGGAGAATTTATATGACCGGGGTGTACAAAGGCAGAAGTACAAAGGATTCCACGGGAAGACTTGGACGAAGCGGGTGTCGCTCACCTTGTGTGTTTTGGAAATAATGCCTCCACAGCGGCCTGATTTTGTCCTGACCACCGACATCCCACACCGTAAAACTGATGTTCTTGAATTCTACGGTTTCAACATTAAAACCTGCGAAAAGACGGAGATGAACAGGTTTTTAATCAAGGCACAAATATCTGCCCGTGTGGGTGTTAAGATCTCACAGCTTTGACGAGGATGACTCACCAATGGTAGGAATTGTGGTAACAATTTCCCCCAATTTGAGCTTGTACAAGATGGTGGTTTTTCCAGCGGCATCCAGTCCGACCATCAGGATTCTCATCTCCTTTTTGCCGAACAGTCCTTTAAACAGGCTAGCAAAATTCCCCATCTTGGCTGACCTGCAGAGGGTGAGATTATACCTGGCGTTAGGCTGGATGTGCTGGTACCAAACAGCTGACAGTCAGCACTAAATACCACATGCTTTGGCCCAGAATGGCAGATTTTAATAACTCAAATGTTAGTGTGTGCTTTTCTCTGTCATTATATGCATTTCAACTACTGAATTATCTGTAACTACATTTTTTCTGAAAGAAAAATAAATAGAAGGTAAGACGAAAAATGTTTGTTCCCACAGCAACTGGTAAGCGAGATAATCTTTCCAAGTTGAGTAACACTGAGAGACAACAACTATAATAATCGTAACAGTGTCTGCGTTCTTTCAGATAGGATGGCCCACTGTATCCTATCTGTACGCTGCTCAGCTTTGCATATGGATCAATCAAGGCAATTACGTCAGAATTTCTGGGTCAACTTGTCCTCAACTCTGAAGCAGAAGTGAAACAACAGGACTAGGTTAAAGAAAGTGCAAGTCTGGTCCTGAAGCACAGGAAGCGGCCTTAAAGACCCAACAGCAAGCCACAATGAATGACACCGACTGATTTAGGGAATCACTGCACCAATTCTAACCTTCCTGGTTACTCTGAAACGTGTTACCTGTACTGAGCAGTCAAGTTAATCGACATAATTCAAAAGCAGTGTAAAACCAGACATCACTTTTCCTGCTTCATTTTCCCATCTTAAAATGATTAAATCAGACAAACAGGTTAGCAGAATCATCATTTAGTCTCAAATATGTAAAAGGTACTGATGGACCAAAGTAGCAGGGATCCCCACAACATTAACACCAAGTATATCATGAATAGAATCATGATTTTTACATTTCAAAATAGTGAAATCTCACACTGTAAAGCCAAAACCATGATCATTATTCTTAAAAATTGAAAATGATGTAAACAGTATCAGTCTCCAGTTACCACCAAACTAACTATTAAATTGACTACACTCCAACATAACACCTGTCTGCCTTGTTTTAAATCATATGAAGTTTTTGTGCATAGTTTGAGGACATCCAACATCTTTACATGTCCCAGCTTGCTGTTTCCAAAGCCCAGCTCCCTACAGTATGTGCAGATGAACACCGCTACAGAGATAAAGACCAAGAAGCAGAAGGAAGCACATTCCTTCTGCACTAAACAGAAAGTGAAAAGATATGTTGAGTAGAGTTAAAGAATTGACCGAAAACTGAACAAAATTGCAAGAAAGGGGAAATACTGATGTCATACGCTGCTGGAAAGAGGAAATATCTTAAAATAATTAATCATAAATTAGCTGATTGATTTTTTAAACTGCTGCACAAAACACAGGCAATTGATTTTTTTTTTACATAAAGATGTTGCAGCCAATTTTCTCATTGTTCTGGCCCAGAGCTTTTGGAGGTATATACTTAAAACAGGAACAACTTTTCTTTCCTTTTCAAATACACTGTTTCTCAAAGCTAACTGTGTGTGTGTACGTGTGAGAGAAACACACAGTGGCAGATGAGCAGAGGCAGCAGTTTTAATGCTGCAGAATGCATTCAGGCGCAAAAGTGAGCTGTAGGTTATCTGCATTTTTGCAGAACCCAGAGGGCAAAAAATAATCTGTGGTTAATTACGCATGAAAAATGTAGGCAAGTGGACTTTGAGTACTGGAAAAATGTATAGTCTTACAACTATAGGCATATGGCATGTGTATAGTGAGACACTTCTCTAAGATAAATTTTACATGGGCTGATTTTGTTCAAGACATTCTACAGAGGACTTGCTTTGTGTAGAAAACCAATGCAGCTCTTTATGGAAAGCTCAGTGCCCCAGTATGTGCTTGTGACCAGGAGCTGAGGCTGATCATATGGCCAGAGAACCGCAAAGCCAATAAGTACGGAAACGTAGCAACACGTGTCCATCAAAATGCCCTTGAAATCAGCAGCATCAAAGCCTCGACCACTTCAGATTGTCATTTGAAATTCTGATAAACGGATAAACATGTTCCCAGAAGCACATTAAAAAAAAAAGAACTACGAAGCGATCCCCACAGGCAAGGTCAAATGTTTGCCTTACTATTGTACACATCTTGAGGATGTTTTATAAGAAGCCATTTTTCTATGTAGACCTGACAGTGTCACAAAGGAGGCAATGCTTTTCTATCATGCTGTCACTCTGTCACACTTAATTCAATGCTGCCATGACACCCTAACTTTGTGTGTCCAAGAACACCAAGGGGCATCGAGACACGCTGTGCCATTGGTTTAACATCTAAAACCTAATCAAGTTCAGATTAACACAATAAACAATGACCTAACTAATTACGGATTTACTGTCAAATGAAAGAGCTTAACAAGGTGGTTCAAGCACAACAGAGCATGGATACAACTTTGTCAGGTTGACTGAGTATTCCCACTTCATAAATGGATATTGTAACCACAGCAAATACAACAAACATCCCTCCTTAGATAATGACTTGATACAAAAATCCTAGCCTGTTCTGGATGATGCAACGATAAGATATAAAAAGCACAGCACAAAGGGCCTGACTCATCCACTAAAAGCCCAGAAAGTGCTGCAGTCAAGCTTTGAGCAGAAAAGAAAAGAAATTACAGGGGTCAACATTACCTGTAGCTCAGTAACAACAGACAGCTGCTTTAAGCATTAAAAAGTACTGTAACAGGAAAAGAAATCTATTCATTTGGTCCAACTGGAGTCTTTATAATGGATCCTAAAATCTAGTCTCAGACTGAAAATATTCTGATAGCTGTGCTGTTTAAAAACGTCCTTGTATTTTGTAAAATTCTAATTCAAACTTTAAAATTTCAACCTCTGGTTGATCTGTTACCAACAACATACAACATCTAGGATGTCAAACTGCATTTTCTTTTGAATTTGTAGACTGGCATCAATGCGAATGGATTTCATTCCACTAACACTACTGCTCAATCACAGAGGGTTGAGCACCTTAGACTTAAAATAAGGAAGTAATGCTAAATACCAGAAACGCAGTTTTGAGTTAACAGGACTGACAGGCTCCGGTCAGTGCAACAAGACACACGAGGTATAGTGTATCTCACCATGTTACTTAAAAGAACTGTTAAGATGAATGATAACGTGTACACCATCCAGCTACCTGTGGAGAAAGCCCAGACGGTGGCCCTACTTAACCCCATGTGGAAACGTCTTGGACTAGTATCTCGACAGGTCACTGTCAGTCAGGAGACAACATTTGTTCCTCATTAACACAGTTTCTGGAAATGTGCTCACAGTAACAAAAAGAGAGTGAATTCTGCTGGCTTCCTGTTTACATTAAAGTTTCTTTTCTCTTTTTTTAGGGATATTCCTGGGTTTTAAAGCTTCAGAGAACTTTTTGTCTAGTAGGACAACAGATTGCTCTGGAGCACAGCAAGTTAAATGCAACCATTTAGGCAACCTTGCCTTTGCACTGGAAAATGCATGTTTGTTTGTTTCTGAGCAAGAACCAGTTATTAGTAATAAAAGGAAATCAATAGTGGATACTTTAAGCAGAGAAACATTTAAAGTCAAGCTTCATTTTTTCAACTTTTTAAATCACAGAGAAAAAAAAGAACCAATCCAAAATTGTTGCTTATGCTTCGCATACACTTGATTAGAAGGTGGATTTCATCTACTGTCAATGAAGACTGCAATGACCTCTTAACAAAATTCCAAACAAAGCCTGATCCTCCCCACTCTTGATAAGTGTGCATGACCTTTCAGACAGTTCTGTGAGCAGAACATAGGTTAAACCCACAGCAAAAACCCAGTATAAAAGTCTCCATAGTGACACATACTGTGTCCATACTGACTTTTAGACATTTCTCTGTTAACTTGATGTACTTTTTTGCTAATTAATAATGATGTGCTATAAACGCCTAATTATCATTCATTACCTGTAAGGCTGTACTATCATTTTATATACGTGACATTTTTTTTTTTTTTTTACAAATATCTCATAGTCAGACATAGACGTGTAAAATCTCCCATTTCCCTTCACTCTTTAATACCTTAAGCTTCGTCAGCTGACGCCCTTGCTACCTCAATGCAGTCCTAGCGCTGTGTTGGCTTCATGTTCCGACCCAATGTTTTCGTACTGTGGGTCCTCTTTACACGTTAATGAATGAAACTGGGTTTGAAAAGCCTCCAGGTTTGTTTTATTAGTGGGTAAAAAAGCATAGGACAAGCAGACAGTTAGCCTCATTGACAGTTCGTGTGTTTTAGCCTGTTAGCCTTCTGGGACTCATCGCCAACCAGCGGCAGATTTATATTCATATTTCATGCACAAAGCTCTCCGCATTTCGAAACCTCAGTAGCAAAATCATCCACATGTAAGCGTAACAATACGGTCCAGGGACCGAAGCTAAGAATAAATACTTTATGAACGTCGTGCCGGGTTTAAGTTAAACGCCAATGAAAAAAGCTAACGAACTTTAAAGAATCTGGGTCTAATCTTCCGACTTATAAAACCTATGATTGCCTTTAAAAAACTAAAATTCGTGGTCTAAGTCTTTTAATAAAATAAGTATGTCTATAAAACAACGGTGTTTTATTTTTGAGGCAACAGTTTTACCTTTGCTGACGTTTCTCGATCCTTCTTCGCTGAATCTGTACAACAATAAAATGGCGTTTTCCGGCCGCTTTTTCTTCTTCGTCGTCGTCGTCATCCTCCTCCGCTTCACGTCTTCTTCGTTGAAACCATTGAAGGTAGGTTGCACGAGTCGAAATCTCTCATTAGTGCTGCCAAGTAGTGTGGAGTGTGAACAGTACCGGATTTTTTATCAAGAAAGTTTACAGATCTAGGGAACACCTCTGGCTCTCTGACATGCATTTAACCTTTGGAAAAGGCTCCAGTCCCCCCTGCGACCCTGTTTGGGACTACGCGATTCATAAATTGGATGAATGGATTGATTCCCTCAAGTAAACAAGGAAAACTATTCCTAAAGACTTATAAAATAAAATAAATTACTAGAAAACTTAGTGGATTCATGAACTGAATATAAATGTTTTGCAGTACCTTAAACACAACTCTACAGAGGATTTGAAACATTAACTTCTATAGAGTCTATTGTCCAAAGACACTATTAAGATGCTAGCCATGTTCTTTTCCTTAGACTGGTTTGTCCACCGAATGTATTCTCTTGGATTTTGTTTCCCACTAGATGGGGCTCCATTCATGAAAGGAAGATAATGGAATATGACGCTTTTCTTCTGATCACTGTTTGCCCTTCTATGATATTCTAACAGGGCCAATATATGATCCCTTTTATGTAAAATCGAACAATATTTGAATGTAGTAACACTTAAAAACACGATAAGTTGTGTGCAATGGCTGGAAGATGTTTCCCTATAGAGAAATTTTAGAAAACACTCGGCCAAGATGATTCCAAATGATCATCGTCAAAATGAAATTTGGTTGCGTAATCAATTAAACTTTTCCACGTACAGTTACAGTGATTGGAGTTTGGAGACTGGGGACACTTTGGATGCCAAATGTCTTTACCTTTTTTTTTTTAAAGTTAGAGGTTGTTTCCTTTGCTCATCATAATGGGGCGTGAATGTGATCGCACCTCTCAGGTACATTCAAGGTCCACGTATCACAACAAATAAGCCCCAAACGCTTTTGCACCTGGGTGGTGTTGCAGTGGGAGGGGAACGCAGAGTGCCATATACTGACTAAATCCAATGAGGGTAGGAGGATGCTTCCTCCTCCAAACAGCCCTGCCTCCCAGCGGAGCTCAGAGCCATGCGCACGGGGAGCAGAGCCTGTGTGCGTGTAGGGCCCCTTAAAGAGAAGCGCCGAGCAGACGGCCCAGACTTTCTCCATAGAAGAATCAGCGAAATGAGGAACAGCGTCAACCCGGCACCATGCGCTCCAGGTTCCCAAGGACCGCCTGCCTGCTGCGAATCATTGCACTCTGCATCCTCCTCTCGCACACAGCAGCTTATTTCGGGTCAGATGTTGTTGAACTTTTTCTGTTATTTACCTTTTTTGCTATCATTATTTCTACTCATCCAATTTGATTTCAAATCTTTCTTTGGCAACCTTACAAAAAAACATACACTTTTGTGTGCAAACTCTTGAATTATGGGATTGTCATCATATTATTTTTGCATTTGGATTCACATTTATCTATCTTTATGAAGATTTTGATCAATTTCCATGAATTTTCATAGTGTAACCTTAATATAATTAGACAGTTTTTCCTTATGGACATTTTCAGGAAAGCTGAAACAACAAATATGTATTTTGTGTTGTTGTTATAGTTTTTTTTTCTCCTTAAATTGCCATATAAACGTTTTTTTTAATGATCAAATAATGCTGGCACAATAGTACTAGAACTTGCTTCAGCTTTTGTTAAAGCCTTTCTAAAAAAAAAATTTTGGTCTACTCCAGATTGTATCACTCCTAATTGTTATTTTTTTTCCTTTTCCATCTGTAGGCTGACAGGTCGGGAGCCCATGGTGTTTTTACCAGGTCCGTTTTCCAATGACGCCCCGGCAGGGAAGGCCCACCTGAAGCAGTGTGAGCAGATGACCCTGACCCGGCGGCAGAAGAGGCTGTGCCGCAGGGAGCCCGGCCTGGCCGAGACGCTCCGGGAGTCGGTGCGCCTCAGCCTGTTGGAGTGCCGCTATCAGTTCAGGAACGAACGCTGGAACTGTAGCCTGGATGGCCGGGGGAGCCTCCTGAAAAGAGGTTAGCGATCGTCCCAGGCTTTGATGGGAATTCACGGCGGTTTTAGCGGCTTTGGCGCAGTGAAATGAAATGAGTGCGCAGGTGTTGGTTCTTGTGGGAGCGCGCATGGGTTCGGTTTACTTACCTCAAGTGTTAAACAATATTATTTTATCTTATTCTTTTTCAAATCTCGCACTCACATAATTTCACATGCTTTTTTCTATATGCATTTATTAAGACATCCATCCTCCTAACGTGCTGCGTGTGACAGAAAACATCACCACATTTTTACTTTAAGGCTGTGATGTTTTTGACAACAATAGTTAATCCGACACAACAAAAAGTAATCTAGAAATACAGTATGAGTGTTAAATAAAACAAGATAAGAACTGTTCACCAACATCTGAATCACTGCTAAACAGGACTTGAATCAAACCATCTTGTCCTCTAGTTTCAACGAGTTAAATTTACAGTTGATATTATTATTTCATAACTTTCCACAGAATCCACATGTGAAGTGGATTATCTTTTACATTCTTGCCAACTCCAATTCAAAATAAATAAATAAATAACTACTTATACTGATGTAGAAGCACAAGAATAAAGAACAAATAAAGCAAAGTCTCGTGCATTAGATCCAGAATCCTCTCAATTAAACTTGTGGAGGTTGTTTTTTAGTTTGAAGACGAGAGGCAAACCCATTGGATCACTTGAAGGCACTCTTAGGAGCTGTTAGACTAAACGATATGTGAAAACAGAGCACTCTTCTTAATTCATAGACTTTCGAATTTGCCTTGAACAGTATGCTTCCCACGGGGCTTCTACAACAATTGATTGGCCGTGCTTGAGCCTCCGTATTGGATATAATTCAAAACTCTGGCAAGTCTGCTGGGCACACAAAATGCTGTGGGATCTTCCAGGATTTATGCATATGGATATCAGTGTGTGGGAGAACGTGAACAGGTCAGCACAGAGGTAATGAGGGAGTAGAAAGCCAAGAAATGTGGTGCGGTTGAGGAACGTTCAAGCCCCGTGGTTATTTTTATCTCGGGAAAGTGCCCATTCCCAGAGGAAAAGGGTGGCGTGATTACCCACTTTCATCTGGGAAAATCCTTCCTAGACAAAATAATAATTAATTGGATCAAAATATACCCTGGTGATGACTTTGGGTGAAGCAAATAACAGTGCACAACCACAAGGAAAAGGTCAGGAGAGGAGTTATGACACAAGAAAACTTGCAGAATTACTGAGGTTTTTGTGAGCCATGACAACGTAGTGTTCTATTTGTAAACATTTTAGCCAAAAACTGGGCAAAAAAGACTATTTTTTATCATTAGAGCGTGTTTTTTAATTCGATTCACACTCAGATCCTCAAGAACTGATAGTTCACAATAGAACTAACAATAAAACAACAAGATTTGTTGAATGATTGTTGTACACAAAATTAACATTTCTCATCCTATCTGTCTTTTCTCTTTCATCCCAGCATTCAAGGAGACTGCTTTCCTGCTGGCGGTGTCCTCTGCGGCGCTGACCCATGCACTGGCCAAAGCGTGCAGCTCGGGCCGAATGGAGAGGTGTACGTGCGACGACTCTCCCGGCATCCAGCACCGAGAAGCGTGGCAGTGGGGCGTGTGCGGCGACAACCTGAAATACAGCACCAAGTTTCTCAAGAAATTCCTCGGCCAAAAGCTGGTCAGCAAGGACCTGAGGGCTCAGATCGACGCACACAACATTAACGTCGGAATTCGGGTGAGTTCAGAGATGTTGCGTCGAATCTCCTGAAACATAAACAGCATTCCGCTCACAGCCCTTTTACGATGAAGCTGCCCCCCCAAGGCAGCAAAAACACCTTTACCTAAGCCTCACTTTGCTCAATTAGCTGGACTGCAATTTCCCCTAAAGCTAAACTTCTGACACACATCAGTTCATCTGATGGTACAAATGCAGAATATGTCTCACGGTACCAGGACAGAAAACCTGTCCACTCTCAGATTTGCTGGCGTGTTTGGCCTTTAAAGGGTGGCAATGCAGCCAGGAGACGAGATGGCTGTGGGATCTTTGGAGCCAGGTGTTTTCAGGCATGATAAAGCTTGCTGTGCGGGCCAACAGAAAATTAAAGGTCTCATGTCGGAGAGAACGATTGTACCTGTGGCCTCTTTAATATACGAGCAAGCATTTTTTCCCGCTTACTGGATCACCGTGCTCTTCATAAATCCACATAATGTTCATAACCACCAGTCTGCAGCTCTGAAATAGCAAGCCCCAGGGTGCAACTCCTGTGGCTCACGCCTTGATGGGAAAGGAAAAACACAACAGGAAGAACCATCTTATCTCATCTCGACCGCGTTAAAAGTTTTACACCAGCGGGACTGAAAAGAAAAACCCGGGAGAGGTTTTAACAAAAAAACATGAAGTGGTTGAGTTCCCCTCAGCTCGCAGTAATGGTGCGCTGAAGCCCCTGAGGGGTTCATACCTGCAAAGGGAGGAACTGAGCAGAACTTTTCAACCCAGAAGTCCCCTCTGGCCCTCCCAGTTTGACCTGTCTCTGGCCCCTGCCACGACAGGAGCTCTCAGCCTGACTGATTGTACTCTCATCACTGACCATCAAGCTCAGTGAACTATTAACCCAAATAAGGGGCATCATATATATCATATATATGTGTGTGTTTGTTTATCTATATGTGTATATATACATATGTGTATGTATCTATAAAAATATATATATATCTCTCTTTATATAGATAGATAGATAGATAGATAGATAGATAGATAGATAGATAGATAGATAGATAGATAGATAGATAGATAGATAGATAGATAGATAGATAGATAGATAGATAGATAGATAGATAGATAGATAGATAGATAGATAGATAGATAGATAGATGTTTTCCATTAGCAGGCAGGTGTGTGAAACTGGGTGGAGAGTCTCCTGTCTGCTCCGCTTGTCACCTGTGCCTCAGGCTTTGGGAAAGAGAGACAGGATGGAAGCAGACAGAGCCAGTTTCAACACATTTGGAGAAAATAGCTAGAGCTGTCCAAATGAGAAATGCGAGGTGAATGAAATACGACAAGCTGGGCTGTCACCCTCAATCCATTATGTCAGAATTTTTTGAGCCAGGTGAGCTACGGGGCCCATATCCGCAGACCACCACCTCGGAGTTTCTACCCACCCTGCAGGAAATTGTCTCACTCTGTCCAGATAGACCCCGCAGATAAGAGGCCAAGCAATGAATCAAACTGGAAGAGCTGACATTTTTCTTCTTTTTCTTGTCTAAAATGCCTTCTTTTGTTTTACGCCCCCCCTCTTCCCCTCCCCGTTTCAGGCCGTGAAGAGTGGACTGAAGACGACCTGCAAGTGTCACGGCGTTTCCGGTTCGTGCGCCGTTCGGACTTGCTGGAAGCAGCTGGCGCCTTTCCACGACACCGGGCGGCTGCTCAAATATCGCTACGACACGGCCGCGAGAGTGCTGAGCGTCACCAACGCGGCCACGGGGGAGACGGAGCTGGCCGGCCCGCGCCGCCACGGCCAGAGCCCCCGCACCACGGACCTGGTCTTCCTGGAGGACTCGCCCAGCTTCTGCAGGCCCTCCCGCTTCTCGCCGGGCACCGGCGGCCGGTCCTGCGCCAAAGACACCAGCTGCCAGAGCCTCTGCTGCGGCCGCGGCTACAACACGGCCATGCGCCTCACCAGCCTGTCCTGCCACTGCCAGGTTCGCTGGTGCTGCCACGTGGAGTGTCAGACCTGCGTGAGGGAGGAGGAGGTGTACACCTGCAAAAATGCATGAACGGTCAATGAGAGAAAAACAGGCAGTTGAGAGAGACTCGGGGGGGGGGGGGAAAGGAAACACGGATGGACCGAAGCAGTGGGGAAAAAATGTGCTAAAAACTGATCCTCAACGAGACTGAACTGAGATGTGTCACAGACAATCCACCGGGGGCTCTTAAATCACAGTGTGCGTTTGCAGATCTGCTCTCTGACTTGCATGTAATTTTGGAACAGATGTACTTATGTAACGTTGAAATATTGCTAGAGACTTGCTAATCACCACTGATTTGATAGGCAACAACTTATTGCTGATGAGGATGTTTTTAAACTAACCTGCTTCTCTTCTTGCTGGATGCACTGAAATCCCACTTTTTTGGGGCGTGGGGGGGACAAGCTCTTAAAACAGGTTTTGGACTGGAAGCGTCCAGCAATGTGGCGCTGAATAGCAGCAGCCTGGGAGCTCCGACACTGATTTTGTTGATTCATTATTGTCTTCTGACATTTTTGCTATTTATTGTGTCATTCTTTATGTCTGTTACACTGCTGCTTTATAAACTTTAAATCTTGTAATCAAGTTTTGCTAGTAAGGCTGAAATTAATTCAAGAGGAATCTACCTGTCTGTCTTTCTGACTGCTGTTATTGTTGTTGTTTTTTTCTGCTGTGGAGAACTTTTAAAGTTCATTTTTGAGTAAAAGCACTTAAGTTGCTCTTGCTACATATTAAACAAATGTAAATGTTAATGTTAAGGTTGAAATTTAGGCGGCGGATATAATCACTGGAAGCTTTGAGGGATGGCTGACACTGCTGACAGAGTTATTGTGTAAAGAAAGAAGCTGGGTTTCAGTTGCTCTTATGGAAATCTCTATGGAAATGTCTACATGCTGAGTAATGTGGGCTGAGCAGAACAAAGAGGAGAGGGAAACGCACAACATTGTCTTTGAAAATCAGCCTAAATTGGTAACATACCAGTCCTGCTCTTCTATTTAAACTTTTAAAAGAAGCCAATACGTTCCTATACTTTCATGTGTAAAATTGCCCGACTGAACTATTTGGTCTTCAAAGTCTAAATTAGCCACATCTTTGTTCTCTTTGCCTTTGAAGTGGGTCAGTCATGCTCCCTATTTTCCCTAATTGCTAATCAAAGAAAATCACTGTGTTTACTCCCCTTATGTCCAATATGTCCATGTGTGCGGGTCAAAAGTGCACGTTGGACCTAAAACATCTGCTTTTATCTGCCAGTTTACGGTTTATCTGAGTGATTCTGAACTGCATATGTGAATAGAATATAACTCTTATTAGAGCCCCAGGCGTCTGACAATGTGGAATCATAATTTTTCTACCTCACTTCAACTTTTGGCAAATATCAGTAAGATTTATGAGCTATGCAGAGTTATCCTCTCTGTAGATACATGTTTTTTCCCTCTATGTTTCTTAGAAATATCCTGTTTCAGACGTCCACACAAGTCTTTTGAATATGGGAATATATGTAACCATTATTCAGAAGTGTGTGTTTTTTTTATCTTGTTGCTTCACACTTTTATTTAAAACAAATAAGATGAATAAAAAAGACGTATATTCATAAGAGCTACATGCTTGGTGTGTCTTGCTCAGTTGCTGTTGGCGGTTACACACAACCTTGCAGTCACACACAGACACACAATAACACACACACAGACACACGTGTAATCCACACTCAACAGAGAAGTGGGAGCAGTTCAACTCTGTGCTCCGCATCTATAGAAAAACCACTTCCTGCTGATGAGGCCCTGCCCTCCTTTTCATCTGAAAAGACTGTGGTCTGGCTGCATCATGCTAAATCAGGCAGTAATAGACGGCGGGTGGGTGGGCGGAGGACACGCTTACAGGTGTTGTGCCTCTGGCCAGCACACCAGCCACAATGACAATCCTAATGACGACGATGATAACTAAGGTGATTACTCAGAGGCATTGCCTTGCAGAGTATTTGACCCCCAAATTGCTGTTAGAAAGTTACAACGGACGGCCCCATAACAATGATGAGAACAGTTTACATGCCATTATCCGTGAATCACAACTTTCCAACCATTTTCAAAGCATCGGTGAATGCATGGCACACAGAGGGCTATTGTCTGAAGTATTTACACTGCGCCGTGGTGCTTTGATGTTGCCTTCTAATTACTGTAATTACACACTATTATTCTTTATTAGAACATTAACTTGCCATCAAAAATATAAGATGGAATTATAAAACAATTTCAAAAGTTTAATCACCGTTAAAATCTCATTTTGGATCTGCAGTGCAACATCATTGTAAATGTGATGGGCATGTTTGTTAAAGAACAGGAAAAAAATGTCATCAAATCAGAGGGCATATCAATTAGGATTTCGCACCATCTTTCTCATCTTCCAATATTTACTTAAAAAAACAAAAACAAGTTCATCTTAAATTTGAGGGCAGTAACAAGCCCCAAAAAGGTGATACTTGAAATATTGTATCTGTCAAGACCACAACTAAATGTGAAAATATAACAGTAAGGCTGGCGATAAACATTTCAGACAAAATGGGAAACATTCTTCTCCCAAAGGTCTAGCAGCTGGTCCTTTTTGTTCCAGATGTTTACGAGCAGTTAACAGAGGAGGGGTTCCTAGACAGTGGTATGGCCCGGTCGCAACTATTTTTAGACATGCCCTCAACTTTAAGATGAGCCAGTATTTTTTCTTGAAAAAGAAAAAATGCTTCACTTGTATAGTTGCAATACCGTTTAGTCAGGGGTTTAATCCTGCGTCCAAAAGTATCAGCAGTCCTAGCAGGATATTGATATGAACCAAACATTACTTCATCAATACTTTACAAAACCCTTCATTCTCTCACCTTCAGTACTAGTTTGCAAATTCAGCATACACAACTTTGCTACTGCAACAAATAAAATAAAGAAATAAAAAACATTATGAAGAAATCAATTGATAAATTGGTTTTCATGCAACACTATGTTTTTTCCCATCTAATAACAACCTCATATTACCTGTATGAACCTTTGCATGTGTCCTTCAAAACAAATCAAATTTCCCCTCTCAGACAATAAAGTTTAGAACTTTTGTATTACATAAAGTGCGTCAGTGTCTTTCCAGTGACTGAGGTCAAACGAGTCCATATTGCCACACCACTGACTCACTATATTAACTCTTCATATTACAATATTTCAGATCAATATTTAACTATTCAGCAGGAATGTCATGCATAAGGGAAAGAACGCATTCATCACAGCAGAGCTGTTGGATTGAAAGTGAGACGGTGAAGTGTGTCCTGGTCAGCGGGGCTGACTGGGGTTGAGATATTGAAGGGTATAAAAGAAAGCAAGGAGGATTGATGGATGAGAAGGGATATTTTGTGGCCCCTGGAGGCCTATCCCCTGCTGCTGCTGCTGTTGTTTTATAATGAACTCCTAAAGCCTTCATTTCCCTCACCGCTCGGAATGGAGGGGGTGCAGAGATTGGGGCTGCTGAGTCCGAAGCCAGATTCGCACGCACAAGCCCCGAGGGTGGCTGCTTTGAGCAGGGTAGGGGGGGTTGGACTGGGCAGGGGTGCAATATGCGAGCGCCTGCGTCTGTGTTTGAAAGAGTCCCGACGGGACACTGGTGAGGGCAGAGAGGTTTTTTGCATATGTGTGTGAGCGTACCTGCCGTGTGCACACCTGTGGTCGCTTCAGTGGTACTGACACATGAGCGTGTGTTTGTAGTGAGGTTTTCCTGTGTGGGTGAGGGCTGCTGTCGTGCTCTGGAGCTTCTCTCTGTCAGCCGGAGACACTCGTAACACGGATGGCGTAGGTGCACGCGGGGGTACTGCAATCCCTGGTGTCTGCATTGGCCAGGTTCAGGTAAAGGTTACCATGCCACGCTGAGCTGCTGCCCTGCATCCAGCTCTGATGGATGATGATGAATTGGCCAACCCTAGATTGGTGTATCATTTCAGAGATGTATGACGTTTGCATTGTTTCGCAAAAAAAGATTTCATCCACTGCAAACTTACATAGTTTTCTGGTTTATACATCACTCATTTGATCAGTAGATGTTAACTGAAGCGTGGAGGGATTAGTAGATACTCTGCTCAAGGACACAAAGCGCGGTCCTGTAATGGGAACCGGCGAGCCTCAGGTCAAACATCTAAACCCTTCAAGACTTCCGGCTCTGAAGAGAAGAGGTGCAGATAACAACGGTGCAGAGATAATCCCGTGCACCCTAAAATCGCACATAGGATTTTAATCGATGAAGATGAGGAGGAAAGAGACCGATCTGGCGTAGATATGAAGAGGCAAAAGAGAGTGCACGACCCGTTTCTGAGTACAGCATGGGGTAGGAATTTGGAATGCCAAATGACTAATGCAACTGCTCAACCCACAACAAGAACATGCACTGCCTAGAGCTATCACAAGGCTGAGTGCATACCTGTACAGGGGGCGGGTGCAGGGGGTTAATTCGGAGGGTGATTTGGGCTGGGATGGTGACTGAGCTCCTCTCAGACGCTAACGAGACAGATGGTTCAGATGAAGGATCCACAGCTGAAGGTGTGGAAAAAATCACACGCACTGAATCTTAAATTGCTTTTTTTTTTAAAGGAGATAAAAATCTAAAAACTTCTGTGGATTCTACTATCAAACATAAGAACTGGCTCTAATCTGGAATTTAAGTGGATCAATTCATGTTTCAACAGAGAGGTTTGTTTCAGTTATTAGCAAAGTGTAGAAGTAATATTCAAAATTCTAAAATAAATATTTGTGCACAGCATCTGGAATATTTTTTTCTATTCCTCTGAGTTTCACACAGCAACAGTGCCTGCAAATGTTTACTGGACTCCTATTGAACACTCCATCATGCAGCCCTCCTCCCCACTAACTCCCCATTGGGAAGTTTCTGGGGGAGGCTTTTCCCATGCTGCTCGACAGTAACACCTGCAGCTCCAGCACTACGCTTTACAAGGCAGCCACTGTGATAGGACACGATAAGACCTCGTGCACCTCCATAAACGACTCCCCTTGCTAAATGCATGGCACTCCTCTTACTTTTCCTCTCACAAGCACACACTCGAACACACACTCTGACCTCCGTTAACAAGCTAAACAAAACTTTCCCACATCAACAATGTCCAACTAAGAAAAACAAAGATAAAGGCCAGAGCTATGTGTTCTTCTCAACCAGCAACATCCCAGAAAATAAGTCTGGTATGTTGTCTGTGATTATTTGTAATCTCTGTAGCTGCACAATATTGCCAGCTTTGGTTTATGTTCCCGACTGTTCCCGACTAAATCTTCGCTGTCGTTAAAGGATTTGAGCTTACAATGACTTACTGACAAAATCTGATGTCTTTTGAGCTCCATGGGACACACGCTGAGATGACTGACACATGTGACTTAGGCGTGAGCGTGCGGTGGAGAGCGGTGGCATGATGGGGAGTAGGAAGCTGTCAGGCAGGGGAAGCCCGCTTCCGTGCTCTGTGCCACCGCTGTCTCTGCTCCCATCCCAGTTTAGCTGTCATTCAACCTCCAAGATGGAAAGTATCTGTCATCCTTCAGAGGTCTGTGTGTCACAGGTGGGATGGCTGATCGCCTTTGGCAAGTTGGAAAGCACCCCTTTATCTCTTCTAAAGAGGACCTAATTTGGCTTAAGGAGGAACATTTTAAAGTGATAGGTTTTAAATTTTAAATTGCAGGCATGACTGAATCAAATCTGATGAAAATGTAAGTCAAAATGTGGCAGAATTCAATATCTCTAAAGTTCTGGGGGGGGGAAACCCAAACTTGTAAGAGATGCACGGTTAGCAGGTAATTAGAACTGCACAAAAATGTCAGAAATTGGCAGATTATTAAATAAGACGCTTGTAGATTTGTGCGTCCTTGTGTTCAGTCTGCTTCCTTTTTGTTCAATTTTCACCTTTTTTCACAAACGTTTCTGTACCGGCCATCCAAATCCTCGTGTTTGGCATCTGACCTGGTAGGGGTTGCAACGGGGGTGGTCAGTCAGATTCCTGGAGGGGTTGGGGGATGGCATCCCCTCTCATCCACTTCTGGTCCCTGTTCCCACCAAAACCCACAGAGACGTCGGGAGCTTATGAGTTTCTCCTGTCATCTCTGACAGGCTCTCATTTGCTTTCATTCAGCATCTCATCACGGCTTCAAAGACGAGTGGCTCATCTCCCTCAGGGGGGGAGTGAGAAGATCAGTGTGCCTTCAAAAAATGAATGGTATCCAAAAATTGTTAACCCAAGGCAATTTTGCTCCTTATAATTGGCTTCTCCACTCAGTCTTTCTTGTGCAATCATTGCAGAGTTATGATGCATTATACTGCCTGGAAAACATCATTAAGTTTATGTGTGTAAGCAATTCCATAACATATCATTTTCTCTTGGTGAACAAAACAGTCTTATTGAAGGGTGTAGCCTTAGAGTACACTGAGTGCTTTCTTCCTTTAGCAAACAATTATATCCAGGATGGGGGAACTCATCTGGCACTACACCTTGTTTAGTTTTAGACCCCCAAAGGGATATAGTTCGGGGCCAGGAAACACTTAATGATGATAAATATTATGAGTATATCTTTCAGGTTCAGACTCTTTAATATGAGTTACAAAATATAGATGAACTATATCAACCAGCAAAACAAGATGATTATGAATCCCAAACACACATCAGAGCCCGATACGTAGTTGTGTGATGGCAACATTCTTACTTCAAACTAGACGCAAACACACCTGACATCTCATCAGTCAGGGGGTCCTGATAGAGCTCCACACCTGGAGTCCAGATTCCAGTATGTGCCCGTGGTGCTCAGGTGCAAAGGAAAACCAGTAAGCTCATCTCATCCTTTCCTCAGGGCTGAAACAATAAATGAGAGACAGAGAACCCCACGACCTAACGTTGCCTCATCTACGATGCAGAAAAGTTTTGACGGCGGAGGTGGGCGGGCGGGGGGGGCTTATTTTCTTCTCTCTTCACTTTTTTCTTGTAGAAAGTCGAAGCTGTGCACATCTAACCGTTGCCCTGGAGAAATGTTATGACAACCCAAAACGGTGAACAGCACGAGCAAGAAGTGGCATGAACAAATCTCAGCGTTTCTGACGGGTGGGGGTAACTGAAAAGGACCTCTGTTGAGAAGTGTCTAGCCTGAAGATACAACCATCAGCTCATGTACCATCAGGCCGCCACGGGAAAACCGTCTGGGCCGACTTCTGTTTACTGTGCTGAAGGAAGAAAACAAATTCCGCTATCACTGGCAAACGGGAGCTTGTAACAACTCATGCAGATAATTGTGTTAAAGGATGCTTGAATTGACTTTACTTGCTCACCATGCATTCATTGGTTCTGCCCTCCCAAACCAGCAGACGCACCAGTGATGGATGTCTGAGGTAAGATGATTGAGATGTGGTTTTGTTAAGGTGCCAGGCAGCGCCCTAGGATGATTTTCCTCCCACTAAACCACCAAAGATCTATTGTGAATATTTCACATCTTGTTCTGGGAAATCCAATCATGGCCCTTTCACACAGTACTCTGTGTCAGAGTCAGTCTGTGACTGGCAAATTCACAAACTCTTAGTCTCCTTTCTCTGACGTCCTCTCTCCAGTGATCTGTTACTCTCACAATGGAAAGATTTATATTATATGCTTTGCTGTATTTGACTCCAGGCAAGATGGAGACCTGTGGATAGACAAACAGAAATATTCTGACATCTATCTGTGGAAAAACAGAATAGCCTAATTAGACGCAGTCAGGAAGAGCTGACAAAAGCTAGCCTGAGGAAATGCTGCTGAGTCCTTCTTGTCACATGTCGACATGTCAACAGATTATGCATTTTCACTGGCAGTATGTGGGACAAAGGAATCTTTGTCTGCCACAACTTTTACGTCAGAATAAAGTGTAAATATAATTAAAATAAATATGTAGAAATAAGAACTATTTAGACCACAACATAGATTAAGGAAGTAAATCAACGAAGGATAATGTACAACAGCATTGTTTAAAAACTATGAAAAAAGGTCAGCTAAAGATTAAAAAAAATACACACGTACAAAAAATATACATGTATGCCCTCAGTTCATTTGCAGTTTGTTAACAACCATACTAAACCGAACTTTTATTTGACGCCCAAAAATAATTCATTGCCAATTTGTTTATCTTACGGTTGTAATTTGAATAAAGCATTTACAGAGGTATTAGCAATACACACAAAAACGCCCGTAAAATGTGAGCATACGCCGTTGGCCTACATCTACAGCTTCTGGTATTTTAGGTGGAGTGTTCTTCTTCTTTTCGCCTTCTCGCTCTTTGGTGACGTCACGCTACTTCCGCTGTCCTACTTCCGTACACAAAATCTCGGCTGATGACGTGTACAACCCTCCACCGTTAGCTAGCAAGCCAGTTTAGCCCCTTGTCAGAATAAAGGTGCTCCTGGTTGTGGTAAAAACAAGATAAAGGGGCTAAAACATTGAGTTAAATCGATAAAAATGGAGACGCTTTACCACCAGACAAACAAGTAAGTGCATCTATCCTCTGTGGAAATGAGCAAACTTTCTTTCTTTTTTAGCTAACTTAGCTCTCGAGTATAACTACCCAAACCAGTCAATTAGGGTTTACAATGAAAGTGTGACCAATAAAAGTGCATTGCGACCGTTAATTTCTAGAAAAACATGCAATCGATGTGCTTACATTTTTTGAGATAAGGAAATCGTCAAGTGTGGGCATTTCAGATCATGTTCATTAACCTCTTATTTATTGAATTAGGCAAATCCAAGAGGTGCAGTCCATGATGGGAAACCTGGAGAGGACCGACCGTCAGTCAGTTCACTGTGAGTGATGAGCTGTCAACACTGAGCTCGCCATCGGCTTCGTTTTTGAGTGTGAATATGGTGCAAACTGAAAGCTCCACCACTTCTGCTCTGTTGTCCTCTGAATGTTTCCATCTAATTTCTACTGAGTATGGCCTCTGTGTTATGGCTGCCCGTTTCTCTGTCGGATGTCCAGACAGGAAGGGCTGGTGTCTCTCTGACTAGTGGATTCTTGTATGTGGTGCCTGCTTGGTCAGCTCTGGGCCAGGCTGGTGCCGGAGCAGGAAACTGTTGGGTGGGTGCAGTGACAGAAGTTGGGAGGGCTTCTTTCAGATAATGGTGGGAGCCAGGCCACTCTCCTCATCCCTGTACAAATTATGACATCACTTTGTATTTTCATACATGAGAGGATGTAAGTAATGGGTTGAGTATTTGCTTTGTACTCCCTGTTTTATTGATATGGAAATGTGGCCATTTTGGGATGAATTGAGAGCCAAATGTTCTGGCCCTAACATTACTATCACTGGGGTTTAACAGATCAGAAAGTGGTTCAGTTTATGTTAAAGACATCTATTCAAATAAAGGAAGCTTCTGTTGATTTCAAACATAGCTGGTTAGAACTTGTTTTCTTTCGCTCTAATGTTCTCCTTCTGTTTTTACTTTACAAGTGTTGGAGAATGAACTGCAGGCTCGAATAGAGCAGATCTTCAATCACTTAGAACGGCTTCAGATCCTGGCCAGCAAGGAGCCACCGAACCGACGGCAGAATGCCAAGCTGTGAGTCTGAACTTTGTCAATTGATGGCCGCCAGATTTCAGATTTGCCAGCGCAAACCAAACCTCATAAAGGCTCAGGCAGGGTCCAGAAGATGAGACAGGCTGCCCTGTCATGCCCCGTGCTGACGTGGCTCAATGAAAACATTTCCTCAGAAAAGCCGTCATCACTGGCATTCCTGCTGCATCTGGAAGATTTATCTCTGCGCCGGGCAATCAGGCCTTCAGGTGCAAAGTTCAGCAAGTCCCACAGCTTTTCTGTGATTTCCGCAGGTCTGAAGGGGTGCTAGCGTGAGCTAAGGAGAGATCCGTTTTTCCATCAGCAGGTCAAAAGAAGTTCCTAACAGACAAGAAAAAATATGAAAACCTTGAATTATGTTTAAAATTAGATGAAAAACGCAATATCTTACACTCCCTGCACATGCACACACACTAATGGCCAATAGAGCTGATTCTGACTTACAGCCAGAGCACATTAAAGGGGAACCTTTCAATTCTCTTTCAATCACTTTTAGGACCTTTTTATTTTTTGTCTTTTGGGGGAACTGAATTCGCTGCTTTGTGAGATCTGCAAATGGTCCAGTATGTTGTGGAAAATCGCTTATCTTTTGTTCCGCCCTTTAATTCCTCAGACGAGTGGACCAGCTGAAGTACGACGTTCAGCACCTGCGAACTGCCCTACAAAACTTTCAGCACAGACGCTATGCCAGAGAGGCTCAGGACCGAGAGCGGGAGGAGCTCCTGAGCCGCGCCTTCACCACTAATGTAGGTCAAGCGAGTCGGGTTTTGACACCACAAAGATCCACAGGATTGGTGAAACTGCATCTTACAGAGTGATGCAGAAACCTAAATGCTGGGTCTTGCTTAATAGGACGCAGACACCTCCATTCCCATAGATGAGACCTTGCAGTTTAACTCCAGTCTTCAGAACGCACACAGCGGCATGGATGACCTCCTGGGCAGCGGCACTAGCATCCTCAACGGCCTCAAAGATCAGAGATCTACTCTAAAGGTGGGCTTAAATAATGTGCCGTCTAGCAAAAATAATTCTCCACACAAAATTGACACAGTAATAAAGTTAATTATATACCCAGACCCGGTTTCTGGTGCCCACATTGATCACAATGGTCTCATTGTTGCTGCATGTAACCTCAACCAGAGGGTGAGTCCTTGTTTCCAGGGAGGAGATGGGCTTCCTGGTTTGGCTTTAGGCCTCTTCTTATCAGGGTGTGACTGCTGATCAGCACTCACAGGCTGGTAGGCCCAACATGAGAAACTTCAGACAGAGCCGTGGGTCAGGGCGGGTCATGGCGTTATTCTAAAATCAGAGGAATGAGTGGAGCTGATTTGGAGTGTGGTCATGCAGCAGTTAATCCTCTGTGCATGTATGACTCGCGTGCAGTTATCATGTTGACGTCGGTGTGTTTTGCCTCCGAACAGGGGACCCATAAGAAGATGCTGGATGTAGCCAACATGTTGGGACTGTCTAACACAGTGATGAGACTCATCGAGAGGCGAGCCACCCAGGACAAGTTCATCATGATCGGAGGCATGTTGCTGACCTGCGTCTTCATGTTCTTGGTCATCAGATACCTGGGCTGACCACCATCCACACACAGATCATCAGTTGTGGACATTTCTGCCGCACGTCATCCCACACGATATGAATTTTTAAAATTAAAGAAACTTTTATAAATTATGTTATTATATATAAATGTTTTTTCTTAAAATGGCATTTGACCATTTTATTGTGGATGGCGTAAAAAATTAGGTCGAAGACCTTTTTTTAGTCAGTATTTTGCTCAACTGAAACCTCTTTTCTGCAGCCTTCCCATGACTGATGCCAAACATCCTCTTCTTTTCAAAACCACTGTAAATTCTTCTCGAAACTATTGCTTCCTCATGCTATAAAAAGCTAATCGCTTTGCTCGTTAGTTTCTCATCGTTTCATTTTGAAATACAGAGGTACATGTGTGGATATAACACCAGGACTCGCAGGATCTCGGTTTGAGTTGTCACCATGCAAAGAGTCAAACAAAACAGTAGGATGTGTGAGACTGGTGTAATGGAACCGACACCACAAACGGCATCCTCACATCAATACCGGTTTCAGTGAGATGTAGTGGACTATTTCTGTTCAACACACAGGACCATGGAAGCAGTCCCATTGTAATAACATGCTTTGTCTCTGCATCAGTGTAGTCTCACTATGTGAGTAAGGAAAATTCTTAGAAAATAAACAATTTTACTAGCCTTGTCTGTATTCATTGGTCCTGCTGGCCTAACGGGACATTGCTTTTTGTGATCACCGCTTCTTGGATGCACCCAAAGATGCTTTCAGGCATATATTGTGAGAGAGTTTGTTCGGCGTAACAAGGGCACCATCTACTGTGCAGTTATGACATCTTCAGGAATTGTTTGGCTATGTGACTTATGGATTATGGGAATGACATCAAATAACTCACACGTGAACAGAACTCAAGATTTTATTTGCCGAAACAGTTAGGTTTTTAAAAAATACAGAGTTGCTACTTTTTGACAGAGCTCATTTGCCGTCCCAGGCTGCCAGGGAGGATTTAGAAAGGACCTTGATAAAATGCGCGTCCACCTTCTGTCTGACCAAGTTGTCACTGATCTGCTTTTTCCAAGAGCCTTCTCAACCCATTAAAATGTTAATAGGGCTAAACTACAGCACTTTTATTTACAAAATTACACAAAAAGCCAAACAGCTCCTCCCATAAGGAGCATTTTGGAAAATAATTTAAAAACAAAAAAATACAATTATTGCAGTATTCTACAATCTTGTAACATGATGCAAAAGCACCATCTCGGTGTACAGATTTCAGTGCAATTCATTCACATGTACCCTCAAGAAGGGAACACGGGATTTGCGTCATAGTAATAGGGATGTTAAACCCCCATCACAATTTTCCTCCTTCAGAGGATTTCATATGTGATTAGTGTCATAGGGTTCAGACACAGCTGTATTTTTATATGATCATAATTGTGGGAAGTCTTCACATTACACACTGACATATGTACAAGTTACTGCATTACAAATTATTTTGAGTGAAATTCCAATAAAGAGCAGGTATGAAGAAATGATCCTACTGTCAACCTCTGGAGCAAAACTTATTGTTCCGTCTCAGCACGACTTTTAATTGTGTAGCCATTATTGTTCCTCTTTGGCTGCCGAACTTAGCCACATATGGAAAACAAAACAAAACATCCAGTGATTTATCGGGCTGTTAATACCCGATATGGGCCATTCTCAAAAGAAAATGTCTAATCTACAACCCATCATAAAAATTCTGAAAAAAGAAAAACAACACAAAATACACAAACCCAAAGAAAATGCTATTTTGAACTTTGAACCTAACAGGCCGCACCACATTGCGGCAGCACACTGTTGCTGTGCGTAGGTCCATTAACTTATGGTTTCACTGACAAGCTTCCTGCCTCGCTGTCTCCACGTTGTTACAAAGACTTTACCCCTAGTCTTTAACCAAGACAGTTCGAGGTGGAGTCTTTCTTTACCAGTGGCTGAATGCTTAGAATACCCCACCTCACTCCCCGTCTCACTCAGGAGCCGTGGTTGGGTGGATGCTGGAGGTCTTGTCCTGAGAAGATCGGGTGCAGGAGTGGGTGGAGCTGGAGAGCCGCTGCGGCTGCAGCCTGAGAGGGCCGAGGTGTGAAGAGTGTGGGGTAGAGAGCCGCGTGGGGGACATGGTGGAGAGTTAGTGGGGTGTGGTGGAGGGCAGAGGCAGGGATAATGTGTATGGGCTGACCCGAGAGGAAGGCCGTCGGGTGGGCGGGAATCAGTCCAGCGTGTCCCAGTGAGTGTCCCAAAGAGTGACCCAGAGAGTGGCCCAGCGGAGACAGGGAGATGGGGGTGAGGTGGTGCTGGGGAATGTGATGTACCTGGGCTAGCTGGGCGTGTGCGGGGTGAGGGTGGTGGGCGTGCGCGGGGTGGATGCCCATTGCTGCGGCGGTGGCTGCGTGGTGCTGCAGGATGGCGTGCTGCACGGTGGTGATGGAGGTGCCGGAGGCCACCGACACAGTGGGCTGCTGAATGTGGATCTGCTGCAGGGCCGGCGGGGGGGGGGGCTGGCGCCAGGTTGGCGGCGGCGGCGGCTGCCGCGGCGGCGGCCGCAGCGGCCGACGGAAAGGCTTTGACCTGCTTGGCCAAGAGCTGCTGCTGGATGTGCTGCTGCGCCGCCTGCTGCAGTTTGCTGTACTTCTCCATCTCCTCCGGCGTGAAGGTGATGGGCTGACTCTCCAGAGGAGCCAGCCCGTCGTCCTCCGCCTCCAGGCCGTCCTCCTCCAGGCTGGGGGGTGGGTACGCCGGGTAGCCGTGCATCGGAGGCTGCTGTTGCATCTCGGGCATGAGAGACTCCATCATGGGGTTCTGGGAAGGGTCCTGTCCCGGTTCTCCCTGATACTGGGGCATCATCATGGAGGCTTCCTGTTCAAACGACTGCCGGGGTTCCTGGAGCACCTGCTCCTCCGTAGAGGCGTGCTGCGGTGTCTCCTCCTGGTTCACCGAGGTTGGTGGGGCTTCTTCATCCTTCTGGACAGGTGGAGCCGGAGGTGGAGGGGGTGGAGGGAACTCCCTTATTGGCTCTACCAGGATAACCTCTCGCTCGGCTTCAGAATTCTTTCCGGTTCCGGATTTCTCTCCCTCATCCGGCCTGGTCAGAGGAATCAAGGGTTTCTTCCCTGCCTGCAGTTTCCCAAACAGTGGCAACATGGCTTTGCTTCCCAGGCTTGGAGGTAATTTAGGACCAAAATACCCCTGTGGGGGATCCTTAATCTTAATCCCAGATTTTGCTCCCGTGGCAGAATCTTCTTTTTTGGACTGAATTTTCTCCAACAGCTGGCGCGCAGTAAGTGAGTTTTTCTGCTCCCCTGCATCTCGGGACCCCCCTTGCCTCAGACCCTGCAGGCCGGACGAATGCGTGCTGCGGTTAAGGCCACGGGACGATGAGGACCGCGGGGACTGGGAGCGGTAGATGCGGGAGCGGTTGAAGTCCCTGCGGTGCGTGTCGCTGTCGGCGCGGGCCCTGGCGCCCCGCCGGTGGGGGGAGGCTTTGGTGGAGCTGGAGGAGCGGCTGGCGGAGCTGTGGCTGCGGCTGTAGCTCCGCCTCCAGGACCGGGCGCTGGTGCTGCGGCTCCAGCTGCTGGAGCTGCGGGAGCTGCTCCGGTGGTGCCGGCGGTGCCTCTTCCGGCGGCTGTAGCTGCGGGAGCGCGAGCGCGAGTCATCCGAGGAGGAGGAGGAGTACTGGTGCCTCCGGGAGCGCCGGCGGCCCCTGCTCCCCCTGCGCTCGTACTCAGAGTCGGAGGAGCGCTTGGAGCGCCTCCGGCGCCGGCCCTCCGTGCTGTAGTCGCTGTAGCTGTCCGAGTAGCTGCGGCTGCGGTGGCTGTAGGCGCTGCTGCCGGCCGAGGAGCGGTCGGAGCTGCTGGAGTAGGAGCGGCTGCGGGAGGCCTGGCCGCGGTGGCGCCGGCGGCTGCTGCCGCGCCGCTCCCCCCGCCGGGACGAGCGGCTGTGGGAGCGCCCCGACTCCTCGCTATGGTGGCGGCGCTGGTCCCGCGGGCTGGAGCGGTGGTGGCGCGAGCGCTGCGTGTTGGAGCCGCGCTCCTCTTCGCTCTCGCTGCTGGGCGGCCGGCCGTGGCTGGGACTCTTCTGGGCGGCGGCGGAGCAGGAGGCGCTTTGGGGCGCGCCGGAGTCGGTTTTCGGTCTCTTGCCGCCGCCGCCGGCGTACTCCTCGGAGGGGTTGGCCTTGTCGTTGCCTCTCCCGTTTCCTCCTTCGTCTGCCCCCGACTTGGAAGGAACGTCCTTAGCGGCGCGCTTCCTTTTGCCCAGCTCTGCTGCCGACGCCGCTGCCCCTCCAGTTGACGACTGAACGGAGGAGGCCACGGCCTTGTCCTCGGACTTTGGTTTAACTTTTTCCATTTCGTCACCGCTTGCCTCATCGTGATCTGGACCTTTGTTCTTACTCTTCTTCCGTTTGTGTTTCTTCTTCTTTTTGGGCTTTTCTTGCACTCTCTCAGCGTCTCCCTCTGCATCCTCTGCAGCAGCTTTTTCTTTCCCTTTGCGTTTTGAATGCTTTGCAGACTTCTTGTGCTTCTTCTTCTTTTTCTTCTTCTTTGCACTGCCAGCCGCGGGATTTTGCTCCTCGCTCTCTGAATGGTCGGGGTCTCCTTTCATCGACGGCTTGTCTTTGTCGGTGCTGGTGCCAGGTTCTGCAGCCGGGTCCGCTTCGGCTGGTAAGGCAGCTGGCTCTTGTACTTTCTCCTCATTCTCCTCCGTCGGCTTTGGGGACTTTGCAGCTTTTCCACCGCGCAGGCCTTTGTGTTTAGACAACTTGAAGTCAAAGTAGAGGGGGTTACAGCTGTAGGACAGGGAGGGCTGCGCTTTTGTAAATTCAAGGAGCTCCGTTGGCCACTGCAGGGTGGTGCTCTCATCTTTGCTCAAGACGGGGAAGAAGGGACAAGTGGGGATTTTCGGACCAGTGTTTAAATCCGGCGTGTCTGAGGTGCTCTGTGTTTTCTCAGTGGGGGAAGCGGCTGCAGTGGAGGCTGTGTCCATAGCACAGGAAGATGTTTCCTCCTCCGCCTTCACTTTGGGTGATGGGGGGGCGGGTTCTGGCTCTGACTCAGCTGTTGACTTCTCATTATCTTGCTCCTTCTCAGCTTTACATTCTGTGGCATCGGACTCCGTCGGCTCTGGGCTTTCTTCAGCCTTTTTCTCCTCCTGAGCCTCCTCCTCATCTTCATCCTCTTTGCTCTGACACTGCTCGGAGGCCTTCATGAACAGTAGGAACTGAAAGTGTGGCTTAACCCGACAGTGAGCTGGAGGTATGTAGTGGTAATACTCAGGCTCTTGTCCGGCATATCCTTCCTCCTTTTTCATCATCATCTTCAGTTTGTTGAGGGTGGAAGCCAGCGAGGCTCCATCATCAGACTGCTGCCCCTCTTCTGTTGCGGCTGACCCACCTCCATCTCCTCCCCCTGACACTGCCTTTGGGCTGTCTGTGCTACAGCCTGATGTCTCCTCTTGTCCTCCAGCCTTTTCCTCCTCTTGGCTTTCCTCTTCCTCTACAGCCTCCTCACCGTGATCAGCGAAGACAGCAGCTGCTGTCTCCAGCTTCACTGGGGCTTTCTTGGCAAAGGAGAAGGACACACTGACTTTGGATGCACTGCTGGGGGTCGGGGATGAGGACGCGCTCTTTCCCAGAGAAAAACTAATAGCTGGGCCAGACTTCGGAGAAGACTGGTCAACTATTTCTGTAGGCGAGCCCTCCGGGTTTATATCAGTCAGAGCAGGATTCTCAAGTACCATGCTGTCACTATCTTCGGATTTCTCGCCATCCACAGCTACCGTGGTAGGTTTGAACATGGGTCCACTTCCAGGAGTCCTACAACACGAAGGGAGGATAATTTTTTAACATAATTTAAGCCTAAATGATTAAAACATTAAGTGTTCTGGTGGGCATCTGGCATCACCAGATTCCACCCCTGCTGTCGTCTGATTCAGCCAGCAGGGGGCACTCTCACCGGTTTTGTCTGTCTTGCTTCCTCTGCTCAGCCAGCTCATGTAGCCGGCGCAGCATCTTTTCTTGCTTCTTTCCACCTTTCCGAGACCGGGACGACACGTTACGAGCAAACTCCCTCTGTTTCAGTTCTTTCAGCCTCTGGGTTTCATTGAAAGCAACAAAGCAGCGTGATGAATACAACCAGACCACAAAGTCACGGTCTCAGATTTGCTTAGGTGTTAAAATTCCGGAGTACCTGCTTGTGAGCATGATCATAAGAGTTAATGTGGTTATCAAATTCCTGGTGTTTGGTGTACTGCTTGTCACAGAGCTCACAATAGAAGTTGGCCCTTAGGTCTTCCAGAGCCTTTGCAATGGCCTTCTCCTTTTCCATCTGGTCCTATGTTTTTAGAAGTAGAACGGTAATGGGTTAATTGGTGTGAAAGTTAATAGGTGTGAAAGTTAATTGGTGTGAAAATACAGGGATTGTTTCCTTTTTAATTTCAAGTAAACAAGTACTTGCAATCCATCCTCTTCTACCTTTAAATAAATCTACAGAAACACCAATTCTTGTTACTGTGTTACTGTAAACAAAAGGGCCCAACCTTATACTTTTGCCGTAATTCTTCTGTATCTTCTTTCTCCACTTCAAGTACTCTCCTCTTCTCTGTGGCATCTTCTGCATAGTCCAGCTAAAAGAATAAATAGCAGTTTTAGCTTGTGGAGAAACTAGGACAAACGTTTGTCCTAGTTCAGAGAAGTGGCCTATGGAGTGACTGCTGATGTCGTTTTCACTGAGAAGTGGCAACATTCAGTGAAGTTGTGAGATTTGTTGAAATGCATTGTCACTAATAAAAATAACATAAATGCACGAGTTTATAGGGATAAAAAAAAAAAAACATCTCACCTCCATCTCCATCCGTCCCATTCCCATGACATCATATTTAAGGATGATGGGCACAGGGTCAGTGCGTCCTGAGGGAGAAGAGACAGAGAGAAGACCAGTTGAGTTTAAAGCACTGGGACAAAGGGCAACTCGGAGACAGCCTGCTTTTAGAGCATAGGGTGCTGGGGTTAGAATATTTTGCCTTGAAGTGCAAAGAGACCAGAAAGCTACAGTGAACCAAACACCAGCCATTCTCACAGCTTACTGCAGCCCTCAAATACAGAACAAATTTAGCCTGCTACACTTCACCTGGCTGCTGATTTGCAAAGTGAATTTTTATTCATTTTTCTTATTCCTTCTGGATTAGATGACAACAAGGGCATGAGGGTTTTTCAGCAAAGTGTTTTGATGGTAAATTTACCAAAGAAACTAAATTAAAAGAAGTAAGGCAGTTTATGATGCCCCCTCCTCTATCCGTTCATTACTGCAGTCCTGTTAAACCAGAATACCAAGTTTATCAAGCAAGCTGCAGCTTAAAGAATTAGGTGTGGTGTTTGCGTGTATAAGGGGAGATGGAAGAGGCTTGTGCAACTACAATCACCGCAACAAGCTTCATGAGGGTGTAGAATTCTGCATTAGCTTTTGCTGCCCCCTGCAAGCCCCTCTCACTGTCCTGAGGCCTGGATCTGTTATCCTGTTTCTGCTTCATCGTGACTGGAGGTGAAAGATCGTCTTCCTATTTGGATCAGCTACTCTACGTAAGCTGTGAAAAGAGCTAGATCAGAGGGAAATTAACTGTAGAAAAATAAAAGAACCAAAAGACGACCAAAAAACAGAAAGAGACATTTAAGATATAAAATATATAAAAATCAAAACTACTTTGGAGATTTGACACAGAATTGCTTAATCCACTCATAATCAGCCAAACAAAGCAGAGAGAAAAAGAGTAAAATTATAAAGAAAAAAAAATGAAGGACACAAGCACTGAACTACAGAAGAGTGACGTCACAGGCCAGGTGTCGCCATGGTGACAGTGCAAGGGATGGGAATACTTACCTGAAAACATGGGTATGAGTAGAAGGAGAAGGAAGGGGAGGACAGACAGACGGATAGATAGACAGGGGAATCTCAAAACAAAGGCACAAAAGGAATAATTTGGACTAGTCTGCTGCTCCTGATGCCAGCCAGATACCCAATCTTACAGATAGTGATTATCAATTCAGTTTGGTTTCAGTTTTTTTTTTTTTTTTTTTCTTCTTAATTCCCTTCCACGTGTTGATTTTTTGTGTTCACTAATTATTTTCTATACCATTGGGCATATGGAAAAGCTATAGCACTGGGAATAGAAATGTTCAACTGGAGTTCCAATGTTGTGATATCTCTCTTACCAATTAAAAGTCTGCTCCCTCAGCCTATTGCAAAATACCAACATATAATCATTACAGTTAACATGAAGAGTCAATCAAAAAAGAAAAACAATTATAATATACTAACATTACCAAAGCGTTTGGCTTTGCTTAAAATCAGAATTCTAACTTTTAAATGAACAGCGTGGCATATTATTATCTTCCTGGATAGAGGAAGCTAAGAAAAATGTGACGTAATCAACCGTGTCATTCCTGTGCTTTTTGTGATTTACTAATCACAGCCCAATGACATATTCATTCTGAAATTTTTGATGCATGGGCACTGTAACATGTAATGGCCTGCCTGGACTTTCAGTCCCACTGCAGTGTCTGTCAGCCCGGCAAGCTTTTAAAACATTACCTAACTCCGATCACATGAGTATAGAGGCCATATTCAACTGAGGATGTGAGAGGAAAGGACTGTTTGTGTGATATTGAGATCACTGCACTAGTCTCCAGATAGATGTGTGGGTTCACACTCTCTCACAAACTGTGACAGAGAAGTGAAACCAAAAACAGAGTTTTATCTGTTAGCCAGCCACTGCAGTGGTCTGTCTGAATGGAATCACAAACAAGGCCCAGAATTAAAGATTCATAAACAATTACAGTCATCCCAAACTATCACCAATCTTTAACCACAGTGACAATACTTCCACGTTACCCATTCCAGTGGAAAACAAAGGGACCAGACAAAAACAATGTGCACCTAAATCACAAGGTGTGAATCACAAGGCTTGAAAAAAAGAAGAAAAAAAACTGAAAACAAACAAAATGGCAATTTTCTAAGAGTAATACAGAGATGCATGGTAATATACAAGCAGCAGAATGAAGACTAATACAGAGAGAATTAAAAGCCTATGCAGCATTTGTGCTCTGATGAGAGGAAAACAAAATAATGGGAAAAATTAAAACAAACAAAACAATTTAATTGGGGGATAAAATAACATTTACCACTAAGTTTACCATCAGCACAACATGGGCAGGATCAAATCGCTGTAAAAAAGAAACACCAATTGGTTAAGCAGGAAGACTGAGGCACATAGAGAAGGGAGGGTGGGGTTGGGAGTGTGGTTGTGGGGTTTAGGGGCGTTCAATACCAGAGGAGCTTCTGTGTGTCACCCCCCACCCCCACCCGCCCCATCAATTCATTCAGGGCTAGGTGCTTACAGGGAGTTCCTCTCACCACTTTTTCCAAACCTCTGGCCCAAGTCCCCAGGCCCCTAATGCGGTGCGTTTGTGCTTTGTGAACTAGAATGTGCCCCAAGAAACCAGATTACCACCCCTGTAGCTAAACCTTTTCCACAAAAGGATAATGTGGCCTGAATCAGTATTACCCATGTTCATCCATTTCCTCTTCCAATATGGGACCATAGAATTCAGGGAACAAAGTTTTCAGGGAATAACACATGATGGTAGAGATCTATTGTAAATGTAGAGTGATTTGTACGATTCACCCTCCAGTGGAAAGCAAAACATGGCTGCGTAATATTACTGCTGCCTTTTTAAGAGTGTGCGAGTGGTTGAAATGGTAAAAAAGGAGATCTACTGTGGTTCTGGTCATTGATTATGTGTCTTGTGGTCCATGTTGTGGAAAAGGAGCTACAGTCAAGCAAACATGACGCACTTCATTGTATATCTATAAAAGTTAAGCAATCCCTAATATTTTGCAATATTTTAATATTTTTCTAAGTAAGTAAATCTAAATATTCCTCTTAAAATAAATTACTTTGGGAGAGCTCTGTGAGAGAGATTATTAAAAACAGCCATGTCTGATTCTAAAACAGATACATCTACAAAGCTACACTGAGAAATAAATCTAAAGCATGCTTTGATTTGTGTTTAACAATATGCTAAAATATCTAGTCTGAAATGAATAACGCCTCTAGGGATGACCACCATTTTCCCCCTTTGAGCCTTTCTTTTTTTCCGCAGACGCTTGTCAGCCCAGTTAGCAAATCTCCCCGAAATTCTCTCATTTCCTCGCTAGCCTGAAGCCAGCAAGCTTAGTTTGTGATGTGCTTAGCCCCGCAACAAGAGAACACATGACACACATAAAAATGTACCTGAGGAAAGAGCCAACAAGGCTTTGAGCAGTGCTTAGAGTGGGTTCTGCATCACTATGAAACAGGAATTCTAAACAGGAAATCAATGGTGCATCCCATTTTAGGACCACATTCAATTCCATGAGATTTGGGGTTCAGAGGAGCTACCTCCAACACTGCTTAAAGCCCCAGGTATGTGACAGTTTGATGCAGGCAGGAATGCACCTCTGGGACAAACATGCTGTGCAAGAGTGGCAAAGAAACAGGGGGAGGATGGAAGCCCGTAACCATGGGGACAGAGACACTCGGGGTGTAGATGGGTGGAGAGGTCTTCCCTGTAAGTTGACTCTAGGGCCCGGTAAGTAGCAGATACACACATACATCTCAGTCCCACTTAATGACCACACACATACACAAGTTTCACAGGTTTAGAAGTAGAAACAGGCAAACAAGCATAGGGAAAACTTGTCTACTCTGCAAGCCATTCAAAGTCTGAGCCGTGGTTACAGCCAATCAGATTACCCCACAGCAGCCACGGAAACTCAAAGAGGAAAAATCTAAAAATGTGATGATTCTAGGGGATGTGATGGAATCATGGCTTCCTAGATCTACCTTGATTTCGATGGATCTGTATTCTTGGTTCAAATCGAAGCACTTAAGTCTTAAGCGGATTGACATAAAGGTTTAGTGATTATGAAGCAAAGAGGAAGCTGACAGAGGCCATTAGCCTATGATACACAGTAAAAGGGGTGTTACACTGAGGTCAACTGCAGAGTGGGAGAAAGAAAACACACCCACACACGCATACTGACATACAGAAGGGATCCAACAAACCTTACCTAAAAAGGGGCAAAAGGGACAAAAGAAGAATAAGAACAAAGTCAATACAGTGAAAAACTTAAAGAGGGGACAATGCTTTAACTTTCAAATTTCAACAACTGTCTCTTTTGGTAAGGAGTGTAGGAAGGATGAGGAAGATTACAATGATTAATCCAGCAGATTCCGATGAAATGTGACGGTGCGATGATACCGTGAGCTTAACCTCGATTCTGCTTTCAAATCCTAACAGAAATTGGAGGCTACATCACTGCTATTAGTTCCTACATAACAACTGGACACAATTTGCTGCAGTCTCATCTGCCCACAAAGCAGGATGCTTACATAACCACACAAGTGGTGCCAGCGGCAAAAACAAAGGCTCAGTCAGCTCCTGCAACGTGTTCTCTCCTCCACACATCCTTATCACATCACATAGATTGCTATTCAGCTGTTCAAGGCCAGTTGGAAATAAACAACGATGGAAAGCAAATGCTACGCTCTGACATTTCTGCCATGTTGCTGGCTTGCATGCACTTGTCAGCATGCCCAGAATGAGGCGGCTTCCGGGTCTACTGTGCTCCATGGCCATGGCCTGACCGAGAATACCAAGAGGACGACACAGGGAAGCAAGGCTATATATGTACATAAAAGAGAGGTACTAGGACAGCAATAACACAGACCAATGACCACTCAACCTGATACTCCAAGTAATTGCAGGTCTCTTAAAGATCAATATACTCATTCAAGAGTTTTTACCTCACAATAACAAAAGTGACTGTATGGTCTGACTCAACAAGGGCAAATAGGGACTCAACAAGGGAAAAAAGAAACTACGTGTTATGGTTTTCGTCTTTATGGGTAAGAAAACATTTTGCAACATCCTGGTCTTTGGTTCAAAGACACTATTTGGAGGCCTGTTAGATCATACAGAGAATTTGAGTTACAATACTGTAAAAAGTAGTCAACAGTGGCCGGTGTGGATAACAAAGAAGCATTCGTCTAAAGATGGCCCTTGTATCACAGCAAGCAAGCATCATGACATACCTTCACAGTGTCTAGTGTAAACAGATGTCACTGGTGGGCTTCCTAAGGGAGCAACCCACTTGAGAAAAGCAATTTTACATAAAAAGATGTATAGTGGAGGAAGAGGGGACAAATTGCTAGAAAAACTGGAGAAAAGCAACCTCAACGAATGGACTGCTAATAACTACCATTTGCTTACAATGTTGTTTTTTGTGGTCAGTGCTAGAAAACATCCTTCTTGGGCAGAGTTCAGAGATGAGTGAGGCTATGAGGAAAGTCTAAGAAGAAGCCAGAGAGAGATCAAATCAATGTAGAGAGAGCAGGAAAGCCAGTGCAGACACAGGGAGGGGCTCTGCGGAAACATGCCAGTGCACTAAACTACTGCCTTTCAGCCAATGAGCTTATGAGTGCAGGAGGTTTAACTAATGAGGTGCTTACACCAGCCAAGAAGACCTGAACACTCAGCTATGCTCAGACCTAAACCTCCAACAAGAGTTAGTAGTAACTAGGTCGTTCAGATGCACAAAATGGCCGAAAACAGAGTTTACCTGTTACCACTTGAAAGTGTAAGAGGACAGATGTCTGTCCTTCAGAAGTTACATTTACGTGTGGAGGTTATGCGAGTTCTACTGAACATCTAGACGCACATCAGTTGTCTCCAACTTCAGTTGGAGTTCGACCTGATCATTCAAATGGACTACTGCCATTGGCAGAGTGTAGAAGCATCGGCGGGAAATAGTTATTGGCGCAAATCTGTCCAACAGCGTGATTCTCTATAAAATGCAGGATTAATTTGATGAACAACAGCTTTGGGGAGTTTTTGTTGAGCAATTTCCAACAGACCAGCATGTATATATGCATTTCACAATGTATTTATAGATGTATACATTAAAATTCCGGCAGTAAGAAACATGTTACTATGGAGTTACCAAAAGCAGATATCTGTAATGACTGGCATGAGATTGTCCAAAGCAGCACGTGGCCAGAAGATGCTCATTTGCACTGCAGCAAGGAAACTGGCTGTTTTTTAATTTCATCATGCAAAGCTATCTGAAAGTCTAGTAGAGGCTGGGGGAGCCAATCACTCCCGTTTTAAATCCGGAAGAGTCCTGAGAGAAATTGGGTTATTATTGTAAGTGCTTTACAATCCAGCAAAGAATCTGCCATGTTGAATAGTTCCAGAAGGATGTTTTCAAAAGACAGCCCTTCCTTATGATCCCAAAAAAAGTAAATTATCAGCAGCAACACTGAGCATCTGTAATAAAAAATATATAAATATCAATATTTAAGCTGATAAAATGCTTTTTTGAGCAAATGTTCTGGACCGGAATTGCAAACAGGTAAACAAAGTGACATACCAGGGAAGATACACACAGATTAGGTCCATGGTCACAGAGCAGGCTGTAAATTTACTTTAACCTGAACTGATGTTAACTAAATGCAAAAACATCAATAAATAACACCATCTATCAACTCCCAGGGTTTCCTCCCTCAATCTTCACCCTCCACGTAACCTCCGAGATATTTTCTTTATTTTTCATTTTTCCGTACAAAGGAATAGCAGCATGAGAACTACAAAACTGGGGTGATGTTTGTTCCAACAATAATCCATTTTACTCAGAAACAAACAAAGGAATAGATCAGAAAAATGATGTTATGGAAAGAGAAAGTCTGCAAGTGAAAATTAAAAAAATAAAACCTGAAAATGTGAAAGGGAAAGAAATAACAGGAGGTGGCGGCTCAGTGCCACCGCATACACAAAACATTAGTGTGCTTCCGAGTGTCCTTACCCTGCATGGTTTTGCCAAGGCCTTGCCCCAACTTCCAGCCATGTTTCTGAAGCAGCCGATGCCCGATGTTATCCTAGCAGAGAGAACAGAGGAGAAAAACCAAAAATATTCCAATAATAAGAAGAGCTATACCCCGTGGGCACGGGTGAAAATAACAAAAACAAAAACAGATAAAACAAATTAAACACTCAAATCACTCTATCATCATTAGCACAGCCACCACCACCATCACCATCATCTTTATCAACATCACCTAGAGCATGTAACAATCGTGTCTTCCAGCACAAGGAGTGTAAAGACAGTTGGGGAAAAGAGATAAAAGCTGGGACACTCATGAAAGAGTAAGGCAAAATGGAGCCCGTAAACTACAAAATATAGTTGATTTTCTTAAAAAACATTTTAAGGCAAAAGTATTTTTATTCTTAATTGAGATAGTGTAACATATCAAGTCACATCCACTAAGTGAAAAGTTAAGAGGGGAGAGGAAGAGGGAAATATATGTATCACACGCATACATATATGATCCACTACAGAGTAAGATCTAAATACACAAAGAGAATTGACACAGAACAAGTATGGAAATCTAGCAATAACAAAATGAAGACCAGAAACTCCAAGCTTGCTGTGATTCCGTAACCATGACAAGGGGAGCACGATGAAACATATGCAGCTTTCACAAAATAATACAGCGGTAGGGGGAGACAGAAGTGGAGCTAGTGGGCCTTGGATTACCATTACAAGGCCCAGGGTGGACGTACTATGCACGTGTGGAGGGAAATGTGGGTGTGCAGGTGAAGAGAGGGACACGCTGTGTGCATATAGCCCCATCTGATGTACTAAAAATGGCTGTTGTGCATGATTTTGGACACCTCTGATGTCTTTAATCTGTTGTCAGAGCCCAAAAAATGCCCAAACTTTAAACAGTTCATTAATGCTGTTTTTCCTCATAGCAATGATTGGTATTCAAAAACTTAAAGAAAAAAAACGAATTTCACAGACTATACGTCTTCTTTGTATGATTAGCAAAAATATATTAAAATGTTCTCACTGTGAGAAGACACCCGAGAGGGGAATGGCCTGTGGGCCATTCACTTGCTACTCTATTTATACCAACGATTGCTCTGGGGAACACGGCATGATCAACAATGTACACAACATCAGACAGCTGATAATAAGCCAAAGTGTCTGGAGAAATGTACATTATCATACACAACAGGAATTTTGAGCACCCCGGGGGGCTAAATTGTGCAGGTTGAAGACCATTATATCAGTAGTATGCGTCAGCAAGATAACAAAAACATTAAGTGAAATGCAAGACCGTCCCACCACTACACACTACAGTACATCCTCAAGCACAAATAAACAAGAAACAATGAGATATCTGTATAAGCAGTGTTTTCTGTTGTGATTATAACTATTCCAAGCTTTTCTGACATTCACCAGTGTTGCATTCTATCAAAAACCATACAAACCAAACAAAAAGGATATTTATAATCACAAAGAGACTGACATCAACTTTCACAAACAGAAAGTGAGGGGGTAGGAACAAAACAGAAATAAAAACAGCATGCAGCTTTTTGTTAAAAATGTTTTAACAAAAAGGGTCGTCGGTGTTAGTAGCGCACTGTGAGTGGTACGCATACAGAGGGGCAGGCTGGGGTGGAGGGCAGGTTAACAAAACGCCAGCTGTGTTAGTCTAAGGTGGATCAGGCACAGTGAGGAAGGTGATGGCTCGACAGGGTTCGGTTAGTTCTCTTTGATAAGAGAGGAAATCAGGAAGACGGGCAGAACATAGCAGGCTGAGCCATTGGGCTGAGTTTTTGGGTGGTGGAGGTGAGCTGGGTTTGTATGGGTTAGAGCGTGTGAAGGGGGTGGTGGTCTCAAACACACAGCAAACACACTACATCTCCGCCCACAAAGTTGAAACTGGAATTAATCTTTTTTTCTTTTTCTTTTTTTAAAGCAAAATGTTGCCTGTCTTTGCCTAATTTGATTAGTTTGCTGAAGAAAACTAAATAGGTCAGTTATATACGCAGTAAACTAGGATTTGACCAACATGACCAGAATAAACAGAGCCAAACCATCCAGCTAAAGTAGGCCTGCAGCCTCTGGAGAAATGCTGCAGTCATTCACTTCCTGTTTCTTTTATAGTTTGTTTTTCTTTTTTTAACTCCCCAGCAGTCCATGCATTTACAAGCCATGCAGGCTCTACGTGACCGTCAGATCATTTCGAGTGGGGGATGAGATAAGAGAGGAATCTGTGCTGGGCCTCACATTCACCAGAGAAAAACAGTCCTACACAACCGGGTAGGACTCTGTGCTGCTAAGCATTTTTGTGTTACAGTAAATGTCTTAACTATGTACAGAATCACTGCTGAATAAGCAGCAGAGAACAACCCTTCTACCACAGCCATAAGGCTCCTGTCTCTCCTTCAGTTAAGTATCAGATGTTAACACACATGTATGAAGCTTTAAGTCACCTTCAACTAGCAGCTAAGAAATACTCTTGTTCAGCCTTTCCTCCATTCACATATTTATTATCATAATCAGAGTCCCAATCGAAACATTAGCTTCTGAGACCCTGACCTTCAAACAAACAAGTTTTGTCTTATTTATATTGAATCTATTTTTAAGGTTTAAAGAGAGAACTAGGTCGATTAGGTTGGATGAGGCAACAATTTGCAAATGCAGTCATCAAGGATTTAAGGTCGAAATGGGTTCAGCAAAGGTTAGAGGGCAGAGATGGGGTGCAGACCGGGTGTTGGACAACAGATGAGTGCACCAAAAGAATAGACAGACAGACGGATGAAAGCAACGACGGCGAGTCCAACAGCAGTGCAAGTGGAGTGAAGGCATTTCCATACGAACCTGGCTTTAAAATACTGGGCTGTCAAAAAAACAGTCACACGTGACACAACGTAAGAAACCGGCCAAACGCTTTCAACTGCAATTCAGCTAGCTTCTCTAGTTCTTAAGAATATACATCTCTCACTGCCTTTAAACATAACACTGTATACAAACAGAAAAGGTAGGCATTTCAATAAATCCACCAACTGAGTGTTAATACAACAGAAAGAAAAAAGAAAATGTTATCCAAACAAAACAGATCTACAGGAGGGGGTGTTTTAAAAAGTGTGCAATGTGCTGTCATTGGCACACTGCATGGCAAAAGATATGGATAAGGGATGTGATATGCAGGGGACCCACCCAGAGGCCTCAGAGCTTTTATATGTCTCCCTGTTTCAGTCCATGCAGCCATTCTGATGGGTCAGTATGTTCATATACTGGTTTATGCCTGTGTGAGAAGGAGACGCTGCTCTGGTTCAGAGACAGCCTCACTGATGGTTGTGTATTTGAGCTTGAACTAACAACATTCATTCAACAACAGACCGCAAATTTGACATGTGCTTAAACAAGTCCAAAAAAGAGCTGCTGGTGAACAGGCTCTGGTGTCTGTTACTCCTCTTAAGTTTTAGCAGGTCCCTCGTGTTTGTGGCTCCCTGCATTCCTGGTCAGTGTCAGAAACGGCAGGTGTGGCTAAATGGAAACCACTGCTGAGGTTCACCAAAAGGCAAATGACTAAAACAGAAGGCCAACATGCACAGGAAACGGAGGAAAGTGTGCATGTGCCAGGTTTAGTATGAAAGGTTAAAAAAAGGGGTGACTGGAGGTATCACAGAAAAGTCTGATGAAATAATTCAGTTTTTAAATAAAATACTTACCTCATAATACTGATGCCCCAATTCAAAACTGGATATTTAGCAAAATGCTGTCAGGCTTCTTTTTTATATTTAGTTAACTTGTTCAATCTCCATTCCAGCTTCTCTCTTATTTTTAATACAAAGTGCACTTGGGAGTGGAAATTTTTCTGCTAAGACCCACGTGCCCGTCACCCCTTCTGCTTGCTATATTAAAATGGTTCTAAGAGTCTGTTGGGTTGTAAAAACATAAGTGGGTCAGGATGTTAAGGGAGCAGGCATTGACCTTTTTCATGTGTGGCTTGTCATATGTACGAGGTGATAGGGAAAAAAAAATTAAGATATGTACTAGAATGTATAACTGCTACAAACATAACAGACTGTATGTAAATTTGCAGCTAAAAAGTCTTTCTAGGCAACAGTGACTGTTTTTTTAACAAATAAGAGGGACAAATTGAATTTACAAATTTAACTGTAACCTTTTATATGGCTTATGCATGTTTCTTACATGTCCTTTGTGTGTGTTTATGTGTGATTTCTTGGCTCTGAGGCTGCCCGCTGCATATCGCTGTGACACTGGGTCAAGTAAGAGGAGGAAGGGGAAAAGTAGGTGTAATGAATTGGGAGGGGTAAGAGACATGGGAGGAATGAATCTGGGAGAAAAATTATAGTGGTGATTAAGACATTAAGAGTGTTGAGAGGAAATTGTACTAAATGCTACCAAATTAACACATGCAATGCAAAAACAATGTCAGAAAAAAAATATCAAAGACCAAAGGGGAAAGACAGGAAGAGAAAAGAGATCCCAATAAAGTACCACAGACCTCTAGCTGCCTATAAATCACACACAATAAATGGCGAAGGAGGGGCTCCGAGAAGCTGGGCCAAAGCATTCACTGACAGATCCAAAATGTAACATTAGCAAACTACCACAAATAGTCCTGCCTTAGAGGTATGTAGTAAGGCGGCAGGGACAGATCTGTGAATCGAGTGATTCACCAGTTTAGATATACTGTGGAGATCATACCTTCACTTCTGTCTTGAGGCACATGTAAATACACTTCTCCTCCTCTGAAACCACATTAAAGCATAATATTTTTTTTTTTTTTTTTTTTAAATTTTTAAATTTATTTTTTAAATTGGAGCTCATCCATGTGACCTACTTTTATCTAAAAGAACGTTACATAATAAGATTGTTCTAAACCAATTTCTAGTGCCAGAGTTACACCTCTTTTAGGGGATAATCATTTCCAAAAAGAGTATAAATCCTACTGCGGTTGACAGTAGGAGCTGACGCTCCTCTGTCACAGAAGGTTTCCACAGATATTTAAAACTGCGTGATGCTGCGGTGCAGCCCTTTGGACCCCCCCACAAATAATAGCGCAGGAGCAGAACGGCCACTCAAGCCCGGTGAGCAGGCCACCTCTCTTCCTCTCCACTGCCTACACAAACTGAACAGGCATGTGCTTAACAGTGGAAAAGTAGATTAAAAACATGAAGAACACATGTTAAGGCACAAAAACAATTTCATTTTTAAAGAAAAGCTCATGTAAATTGCCTATTTCCTATAAAAGGGATACAGGCTCTTATACACCAATCGGAAAAGTCTTTAAAATCTTCACTGCGGAACCCTTTTAGCACTGAATCACCTTTTTTCTTACTGGCTTTCTCCGGTGTGGCAGGATAATCCCTCACCGTGCATTTTCTTCAGATTTTTCAGCTCTACCATTTCCCTTTTTCCAAAACTAACTAACCAAATGTTGCCAAAGCACTCCCACAAATACCTCCTCACTTACTTCATCCCCCAACTACACACAGACTTAAGAAGAACAAAAGTGTAATAATGAGCAAACAGTTTTTCTGGTTCACTGGTCTTCCTGTCGACTTGGTTTAGTACTGTAGAGTTAGGCTACCTTATACACTGAATAGTTCTCTGCACAGGCGTAGATAGTATGTCACAGTTAGTACCTGGATGTGATCTTAGCTGCTTTCTCCCATCAGTCTCTGAAGAGACTGAAGGAGATCCAACAGGGGACCTTTTGTTGCCGTTGGTTTGGTGTATATGAGCCATTCATCTAGTTAAGTACTGCTTATTAACTATAAGCATAATTTACAGTTCTTCTATTTTCAAGAGGTTCAAAAAGATTTAAAATCTATGTCTTAAAATATATCCTGTAAATGAAAATGCAGCGAAGAGGTGACAGTACACATTTAAAATGATGTACTGACCTTCACTATGTCAGTTTTTATCTGATCTATATTCTGTCTGAATGATCCACAAAGAAAATTTCAGAATTGAGAAGAGATTGCCTAATGATGTCTAATACAGAGATTGGGCCTGCCCACCATAATGCTTCAGAGACAGAAGGGGGTTGGAGAGAGTGAGAAAGACAGAAGAGAGCTGCCTGCGCTATTATCGATGTGCCTCTTCAGCGAAAAATGCAGTCCCAGTTGCACAAGCACCATGCCAGCACAGAATGACAGAGGGTACTGTACACCGAATCACTGTGTAGTAGGGAGGGAGCGAGAGAGAATCAAGAGGTAGGACGAGAGAATAGATAAGGCAAGGAGTGACAGTTGTGAAAAAGTCAGAGGTAGGCAGAGAGAAAGAAAGATAGTAAGAGAAGCGTTACAAGGACCCTAAAGATAGGAGTAAGGAAGCAGAGCGTGCAAATACAAACCGGGTCATTGCTGCTTAGCTAATAGGGGCCGAATCGCTGCAGGAGAGAAATGTCGAACACCCCAAGTTGTGTACAATAAGATAACTGTCCTATAGACACAAACACTATACACTAACACATATATTCTAAAGCTACATAGATACACACTCACTCAAACACAGATGTATCCATTCACACCATCTAATGGGCACTCTTTGTTTCATATATGGGGTGGAATAAGCACTGCATCATTTATGGGATAAATACATTTGATTTGATGCAAAATAATCAAACATACAACTTTGTGTTACCTGACTACAATGTACATTTAATCAATTGGTACAGTTGAAGAAACTCAAGTGTCACTAATGTTCCATAGAAATAAAGTTATAAACTATTTCTGTATGATTGCTTTACATAATGCAGCTCCAACCTGTACCCAGGATAAAATTAGGTATTTCTTGTCCTGCATTACAAGGGGACTTCTACAAAATGAAGATAACTACAGTGAATGGCAGTGCTTCATCCACTCCATGCTAAAAGAATCATCGCATCTCATCTCATAGTGCTCATGACTAATAATGACAAATGTAAGACTGGTCAAAGGTTTAAAGTTTGTTTACATAAAACAATATATATATAAGATATATAAAATTGTATCTGTCACACTGGATATGGGGTACGAAGAGGGCATGGAAAGTGGGAGGAACTTAAGGGGTATTAATGGACATGAGACGAGTGATTCTACAGGTTAGGTGGCGAGTGTGTTCTGAGAAAAAACTGGATGCATCTACGCGGACAGTATGGAGTTAAAAGGTGCGTTTCTTATTGCTCCCTGGACCAATCATATCCACTCTCACAGCTGGTCCAATGGTGCGGGATGATAGATGCATCCTTACCGGTTCGATGGGCTTGTCCAGGGATGCCTGCTCCAACTCCAACTGGCCCTCTTCATACTGGTCAAAGTGATTCCCACCCTAACAGACAGACACACACTTAATTCAGAAACAGTGGTGAGACAACAATATTCATCAGCCGTCTTTACGGCTTAGAAGTCACAGGGTGGACTAATGGTGGATTTTCAAAACAGTCAATAACTTAAAATAGAAAAAAAGACAAATATCTAAAAATAAAACTGAATATAACTGTTAAATGTATTGAGAAATGTGTTTAAACTGTTTAAAATGACCTGTGGACAGCACTGAGGTGTCTGTTTTGTGGCATAGCTTCTGGAGTCTTTTGGAATTTCTTATTTACAAAACTATGACACTGATATTTAAGACAAGACAGTGCGAAAGGGGCTACCTACTCCAACCGAACAAGAGATTTTAGAAAAACGGTTTCTGCTCTAAAACAGATGACTTCCTCCTCTTCAGCGGCAGAGAACTCAGGAGGGTCATGTTTGGTTTCTCCTTTCTCCTCACCCTTGCAAAAGCAGAAATCTGGGTGTTTTCAAACTACACACATCTTGAGACAAGTGGCACAACATTAAGATTTCTAAAATGATTTTTCTTGCCATGTCTGCTTCAGGTATTTTACATTCACATCAAGACATTTACTTTGGCTTTATATAAGTGACAGCTTGTAGCATTGAACACTGTCTGAAACTGTTCATCTTACTCTGTGAAATAAAAGACAGCAAGTCTGCAAAGAGATGATGATAGAATAGCAGGGCCATGTGCGGGGCTTTGCCCACATTATTCTCTCAGGAATCTGCAGAATCAGCACTCCATAATGAGCTGATTTGATGTCACAGTGGTAGTCATTAATTCAAATGAAACAGAATTCCTTATCATGGATTATGAGAAGAAGAGATGCGGGGGAGAGGCAAAGAATTCATTTATGAACTAATCAATATCTCCCCTCTCTATTATAATCCTACTGTTCGACGTAGACCATTTAATGTGCCATTAGTACCGCCCTGCACTCACTACAGTGACCTTACTTTCACTTCTGCTGGTTTCCTCATTACTGACTAATACATATATTTCCAAGCAATGCTGAATAAATCGCTGTTTCTGCCTTCAGGGTTTTTTAGCCTATTGCATAGGTTACATATGAATCCTCTCTATTCCACAAACAGTTGAGAGAAGAATATAGCTGCTGGTCATCTCAGCAGGTCCTTGTAAATTGCCTCGCATTTTTCTGCAACTCAGGACAATGGACACCAAAGCTCCAATGACAAAGCAAATCAATAAACTACACGGAGCCGCTGGACTGGTCGTGCACTCCATCTTGGTTGGACCATCTGTGGGTGTATCCTGGGCTGCGTTGCTTGGCAGCGAGCTTTAATCCATGGAGTCAGAGAGCAACTTTCTGAATACAGAGCATATGAATGCCTTCACAGCACATCTCGCACACAGAGCTCCACTGTGCTGTGCCAGAGCCGCTCTCAGCAGACTCATTCAGACCACACAGCAATGCACCTCTCACAAACAGAATGGCTGAAAACACTGCTCCACAGAAAATGCGAAGGAAAAGAAAACTGGCAATTTTACAGCATATCTGTACAAGGCATCAAAGATGTAATGCGTTTCACTGCATGTGATTCATTAGCCTATTTTGCTACAACACGGCTCCTGCAAATCCCCAGTTAATTCTAAAACAAGCAGCTGCAGATTACAGAAGGATTTAAAACTAGGTTTTAGAAAAGACCTCTTACATTATAAAAACCAAAGCATCAAACCAGGCTGTTTTATTTGTATGTAGTGTTGTAACTACCGGGCAAATGTGATTAACCGACACTGGCATTTCCCTCTGGGGTGGTATTCAAATGGGATCTAAACTCTAAAGTAGAACAAGCTGAACTTTGCTGTTGTTACAACTTCCCTCTGATACACAAAGTCGTACAAATAGGAAACAGAAAAAAGCCAATGAAATGAGAAAGTATTTCAGCCACTAACCTCTCGCTGTTTTTAAATAGGTAGTTTGTCCTGACATGTTCAAGAAATAATAAAAATGTGACATGTGAGAATGCAAACTGTCTCCAACATCATGTGAACATTTTGCAGGGACTTTCAACCCAGCTCCCAATTAAAATCACTGGAATATCAGTGAGTGAGATGATGAGTGAATTTTCCAGAGTATTTTTCTGTGTTCTGGCTTCAGTCACTGGCAAATGTTCCCTTTCAACTGACCTGTTTGACCTATTGTACGTTCATATGCATGGTATCAACATAACATCCTCATAAAGCAGGCTCATCTGCTTTTCTTTGGTAAAGAAAACAGCTACTTTCCACAGTGTCCTTTCAACATTAGGTTTTGGCCCTTCTGTACTGGAGACAGACACAGGCCTGCAGCCCCTCCCTAGCAGCTGTGAGAGAGTTTCACCAGCAGAAAGTCTCCCATTGTGAAGAACAACGACAGAAAAAGACCCTATCACAGTGTCTGCACTTGTTCCAGAACATCTGTCAGAAAGTTACATTTTTTACACTATGGCACAGCATTTTTCCCCAAGTGAATGATGCGACTTGTAAAAAGTGGTTTGCCTAATTCCATATTTTGACATTCACAACTATCCAAGTGAGGGAAGGACACAGAAAATCAAATAAAAAGGTTCAAATTACTTTTTTGTTATTCATTTATTCTGTTCTGAACCTGGCAAGTTACAATCATGAACAATGCTCCAGCATCAGCAGCTCTCACTTTACCCATTTCTTGGCGGACTAACCAATAAAAACAATGACAAAATAGAAAATCCCTGCTTATTAAAAGCTTGTTACCCCAGTCTGTAGTGGATTGGACAATGAGTTAGAAGGCCATTACCAAATGGAGGATTAGAGAGCAAACATTTGTGATGGTTATAAGCACTACAAACTAAAACAATTTAGAATCAAGATTATTTTCCCCAAGCCCTGTCTGAGTTTGGCTTTGCAGGGTGTGGTCTCTCTTAGGCAAGCCCAAAAAACGCCTCAAACGAAGGTTTTGAATGTCATTATCTCTGCCACTGTTGCTTATTTTGAATAAACAAAGCGATGTAGTGTGCTGTCACGAAAATGTAAAATAATAAAATAAAAACTTTAGAGGCCCACTTTTTAAAACTATGGATGACCTCAGACTGAAGCTTAAAAAAAAGACTACATTTATCAGGATCAGCAAGCTTAATTTCTGGTAAATATAAGCTAATCATGACATCATCGTAATAAAAAATACAAACGCAAATTCTTAGCAACGTCATTACATTGAAACATCGATAGCATCCATTTTCCATGATGAAGAAGGCCATTTGTCACAAATAAATGAAAAGATCAAGTCAAAACATGACTGTTTAAAGACTGAAGATGTCAAAAACCTATTGTTAGCCATGCCCAAAGTTGCGTTATGTGCGTTTTTAACGTAAATACTCGAATGAATTGCTAAATAATGTAGGATAGATTAATCCTACAGGTTAAAAATGTGCGTAGTTTCCAGTTATAGGTTTTTTTATTCTGGTTGTCAAAAATGATACTGCAAATTGTGGCTACTGGTGTTACAGCAACCCAATGCTGTAAAAGAGCTAGCCATCTGTTAGCAAGATATACATCGTTAGCATACGTCGATAAATAACCAGCATACCCAAGGTCACTAACGAGCTGGTTAGTCTTCCCATTGTATTTTACTGTTACATTGTTGCCACCGTTAAAATTGCATGGTAGGGTTGGTAAAGAAGCTGAAAACTAGGGAAAGCAGTCAAACGCTGACGTTAGGGAAGTTAATATCACAAGACCCGCAGTGCATTAGCATTAGCTAAGTTAGCTTGCAGTGCTAGCCAGCGACATGTACACCGAAACTCAAACAGCTGTTCGTCAAATGTTTTTTAACTCCCCGCGCGTTTTCGGAGGAGTTTTGACATCGGGGAGTTTCAGCGTGCAGAAATCCCTGCAACTGTTCAGTTGTTCGACATGCATTACCTGGAAATCACGCTCTTCGTTGAACCTAGAAAATCTGTCGGCCATTTTCTGTGCACAGCAGCAGCTTGTCCTCTCGCTCTGAGGGTGTCCGACAGCAGCGCGCAGCAGCGAGGATGATCAGCCCGCAGTGGATCCACATCTCACTCACGAAAACATCCCCGTGTCGCACATGAGAACACAAGCAATGCTACCAGAGCGATGTTAAAGTTTTGATGCATCAAATAAAAGCGCGTTTAACTGCTTAGAATAACAAATACAGGACTTGATTACCTAACAGAGCAATCAATTGCCCTGGGACACGTCTAATGGAAATTTGAGTGAAAATTTGCAGAATTAAAACAAGAAACTTAACCAATCCTTTTCGTTTGAAATGATGAAAATTATTTTTCTTAAATAAACGGTTTAGTGAGCTCCACATCCCTTTTGCATTTCATGTTTCATTCCGATCAATTTACCCTCTAACCACAATGCACATTGTTGACAGTTTATTTAATGAGAGGTGCAGAGACACTAGGGAGACAGATGTTTTGAGATAAAAAGCAGCATAACAGTTAACAGGAGATGATAAACTTTTATTACCTTTGGATGATAAGGATTAAGATGATTCGCCAATATGTCATAAACCTAAAGAAAATAAATCACAAAACTGCTCAGGGTCATAGTTTTGATGTTGGAAATATTTAGGTACCTGTGACTTATGTTTTCTTGTACCAAACCCAGAATTTTGTTTACTCACGAATTGACCAAAATAAGACACAACACATTTCTTCTGCAAACAATATCTTCTGCAAACAAATAATATGAGGGGAATGAGAGGAAAACACGACACTTCACCAAACAGAAAACACAATTATGCCAGCACAAGTTTTGAATTGTAGAGCTTTTAATGCTTGCAAAGTTTCAAAGCATAACATAGCTACAATACTATTAAATACCAACATGATTTCACCCATGAACATTTCACCAATAGAGCTGCCAGCAACGTTTCATGTCAACACAAACCCAGACAGAGGGCAGGAGCTCTGCAGCTGCAGTGGCACAAAAGCTGCTGCTGGTGGCTCCACCTTGTGGTGAACCGGTGCTACTGC